TACAGCATGAACTCACCCTCTAAGTCAGCATCAATATCTTCACACTCAATCAGATGTGAAAGATCAGCTGTAACTGGACTACATTCTTCTGAACAAGGTTCAATGAGATTCCATTCCCATTTATTGGTGCCACATTCTGTTTTCAGAGATCCCATTGAAAACCTGATGTGAGGGGTAGATACAGACTCAGAATTAAGTCTTTGTCCTTGTAAACAAACATTCAGGAATCTGTCAACACTTAACATGGGACTATTTGTGACAAGTAATGCAGTTCTTAAGATCACACATGGCTGCATCTGCTTAGTAAATAAGACTACCCTATGTGTGTGTGTGTGTGTGTGTGTGTGTGTGTGTGCGCGGGGGGGGGGGGGGGGGGGGCTTTCTAAATGGTTGACATAGATGTGTATCTTAGTTTGTTAGCATCAAGCTAACAAATAACAAGCTAACACATACTTGAAAATCATTGTTTGTCATCTATTTGACTTATCAAACATACAGACAGATGCACTTGAACTTACAGTTAGGCTATGTCATTTCTAAACTCTGTGGAAAAAGTGTGTTCTGCTGCTTTGATCATCATTAATAAACTGTCTATGCTCTGATCCGGTGACACCGCATGACTGGCTTTGTATGTCTCAGTTCATATAGGACGTATCCCTCTGCTGCCTACTATTTGGTGGTTGTGTATAATGCTTTCATGGGCACATCGAAGCCCCTATTTCTTGTATTGAAAAGGAGCAAATGCACATGTGCAACTTATAACGAGAGTCAATATAGAGCGGAACAAGCCATAGTGTATCTGTGTGTATCATGCTTTTCCTCTTTGCTGCTTGATGTGGTTTAGATAATTTCATTAAGGTCTGGGAAGCTGTAGTCATTCGTCTTCATTGTTCTTTATTCACTATTTATTTTGGTGTTCTCGACTCTGTAACTTTTACAGATCAACTTGTCTTATCATTGTACGATTGGAACCTGCGCACTTTATGCTCCTCAGCACTTTTACCCATGTACCGTGCATTTGCACTGTCTTTAATGTATTGTCTGTGTTGCATGAAGTGACTCTCCCTTCAACCAAATCAACCTACGGGTACAAATAAAGTAACCTGAACCTGAACCTGAGACCCATGGCTATGTTTTGGGCTAAGACCGAAAACCCATCACCCGTCAGTAAATTTAGACACACACAGTAGACTGTTTTAAATCTACATGTTTATTGCACATTATACATTTTATTGAAAAACGATCTAACTTGTAATATATAAGACTCGTGTAAATCAGTGTAGTGATACAACAGAAAACTCAAAGTACTTGGTCTTTTTCGATTCTCTGATTTTTTTGAAATTTTCAAAATCCAAAACAAAACACGATGTTATATAAAGTTATAACAAACAAGTTTCAGGTTACATAATTTACATATTAAGCAATACTACACGTCTGTAGGGCAGTGGGCCCACCAGAGAATAAACCTTCATAGAGGCAAATAAACATTGCCCTTTGAAAATTGTACTTGCATGTATATAAAGTAGGCTATATAAAGGTTGAACTGAAACAGGGAATGTTTTTAAATCAGCTTATGAGTCACATTCTACAGATACAACAACCCCTTTGGAGCTGATAAAGGCTCCTGCTCACCAACACTTCCTATATATCTTCCCTTTTCACACCTCCTCTTATCCCCTGTATAACAGCTTACTGAAACTGTTGACAGACTTTTTGAGGAATGACTCATAAAGATGTGTCACTGGCTCCTATTGCTTACAGCTCACCTAAGATTACATATAGAAAATACTTATCATGTAAGCCTGTTTACATCAGTAAGAGCTATACTTCAACTTCTCTTCAGAATCATTGACTCATTTTGTAACTGTCTACATGGGCATCAGCCAAATGGTAAAAGTGAGCAGATATGATTTTTTTTGGGTTTGAAGTATTTTTCTTCCTTGAAACATTATGGATCGCAGCTCCTGAATCCTACTCGTCAGCAGAATCTGGCATTAACCAAGAAAGCAGTCGACCAAGCAGCGATCATAGACTGAACTGATCATCCAAAGCTTTTTTAATAGCTCTTTTTTTTTCAGTTTCGCAACCAATACATGCAAGCTTTTTTCTTCAGGTTGGTGACTATAAAGCTTGAAGCGACTCTTAGCAGCTCATGGTGCTACCGCATCTTTTGGTGAAGCAACAAAACTGAGGCAATCATGAACAGAGAAGTTGGTCATTATGGTGCTTAAGGCTTCATGGCATAATTGTTTTATGTTATTCATCATTTTCTTAAAGGTAAATAAGATACTCCAAACAGAACATGGAATATGGAGAGTCTGTAAATGTGGTCATCTAGTCTTCATAGACCTTTACACGGGTTCTTGGTTGTTCCGGTTGATTTTTATTATGACTGTTTCTGAGCATCATAATGTTTTCTCACTCGGGGTTCTCTAACTGTCCAAACAAGCACGCATTCAACAGCGTCATAGGATCATAGGTTCATAGGATTTAATCTCCTAAAAATGTAGGTGGAAGAGTAACATGTGCTTGTTCGCTAAAGTTGCTGGTACCTGACATAAGGGAGTTTTGTTCAGAGATGTAGTTTTTTAGTGTCTACTAGCAGCAGTTGTAATTTTTGTTTGTGTTTGGTAAAGCATGATGTGTTCAAATGAAGTTTATGAGCAGCACAAGAACCAATAAATGCCAAAGCCAGAACGACTCAGTGACATTTGTCACCCAGTATTTGGTCAACTTTCTGTACCCTGAATCAGGTATTTCCAAATTAACAACATAGATATTCAAAGCTTTGTATTTTTGAGTTAGGCAGAAGGAGTCGATTAGTACATTTTGAGAATTCACAGCAGTGAATTATTTTTGTTCTGGAAGACAAGTGCTGATAACTGTTAGATTGCCTGATCATTCACCATTACCCATGTGGACAGAAACTAGATTGGACCCCAAACACATCTGACAGGTCACAAACCAGACTGTTAGCTGAAGATGAGATGGGTGAAGGCTTTAATCAGAAACAGCGTGGAGGGAGAATTATATATTACACATAAATCTTACTATTGTGTGTTCAGGATTAAAAGAGCCTTCTTTGTAGCACGATACGTCAAGGACAAGCTTTTAGCAGCATCAAAACTGCTTATACAATGTCATAACTTATGAATGAAAGTATTCACAAAACAGGAATTCGATCCATTTCATTTTATGGTAATACTTTATGGTAATTACAAGTGATTTATGATCAAATGTATGTACAGTCACAGATCAAAAAAACATCACATAAATATGTTCATATAAAATAGAGCATTTAATGACGGTTCATGTTGTGTAAATTCAACAATATATACTCAGTTATTTGATTAACATGAGACAAATGTGTAAAATACAAAAAAACATGAACTTCAATAACATAATAATAATCCCTTCATATATGACACCTGAGAACTTTATTGACTGAACTTAAATTTTGACATTCACAATGAGAAGTGCATTTTTCAGTTAAGGCACAATTACTTTCCTTCCCCACCTTTAGAATGATTTCATCATTGTGTAGTGGCACATACGACTGTTCCCTTTGGCTGAGGTGTGCACACTTTCATATCAGGCACTGTAATAGCACAATATAGAGAAAGTATAATAGGACAAAATATGGCTTCTTAATGAGTTCATACATACAGTATGTACCCTGAATATCTGACCCTATACACAGTTAAGGCTTCAAGAAGTGTTTTATTTGTTTCTGCTCTACACTGCATTTATAATGTACATACAAAAAACGTACCCTGATATTGTCACAAAAAAAAAAAAAAGCCAGACAGCTAGAAACTTGTGAACACAACATGGACAGTTTAGGACGATTCTTAAAACAAAGCTGGAGAAAAAAAAAAGTGAGGTACAAGAGTTCATATTTCTCTGTTTAGGCAGCAGCTGGACAGAAATCCTACTGCAGTGCCTGTGAGCAGTTTTGGAGGTGTCTCCAGGGCCAGACCAGTGCATTATATCTCCTGTGTATCAGCTTGAATTTGATTTTCCCCAAGGTGAAGTCTGTCTTTAATGCTACTCAAGATAAGATACCATGTCTACTCTGTAAAAGCTAGAGGCTCATGGCCCCTCTGGTTACTGCACACTACCAGAGAGGTACGCACAGACACAGAGGAACGTGGTTCCCTCTGATGTCTCGCAGATTAATCTTTTCAGCTCACGTTGCCTCGAGCATTTCCTTATGATCCAGTAAAGTGTTCTAGTGTGTTTGTGTGTGAGTAAACATCCCACTTACTCCCTACGTCTGACCTGTAGATCCCACTTCCACACGTCCACAACAAGACTTTCCTGACTTGATAAAGTATCATCACGCAGGCTGTGTGCTTACATCTGTTTTTTTTTTTGCTCTTCAAATCAACCAAAAAGAATGACTGGATATTTAAACAGATCTAAATGTATTTATATGTAGGGCTACAGTGATGCTGATGGATTGATCATAAGAATGTGTCCTCTCTGCTGTCCAGTTTAATGAAGACTTACAGTTGCAGTTAAACAATCCAGTTGGTTTATGATACCCAGTTTTAAATATGTTTGACTACATAAATAGCATCCTAATAGTAAACAAGATGAGAAGATGTTCTATCTTGGGAGTTACCATGTGTCTTAGACTTCCACAGATTGCCGCAGCCCAGTCGTCCACAGCTTAGAAATGGAAAAAAGAAGTGAGTGCTTCACTAAACCAAACAGTCTTCTAATGGAGCTGCCCGACTGCACACAGTGTTAAACAAGTCTATGGTTAGACCAGGTATCTGAGCATGTGCCATGTATAAAACCAGAGAGACGCATTGATGAGTGACACCTCCCTGCATACAGACATAATCGGAATAAAAACAACAAACTGAATTAATCTCAAAAGCAACATATGGCTTAGAGTGTGGAGTAATGACAGTATTGAAAAGTCCAAATGGCAAATATCTAAAGACATAACAAAAGTGTTAAATTATATAATACAAAAATAAATGGAGGGTATAATAAATAAGACATTCTCATATTGCTATGTACATTACTTACACAAGACTCATTTACACTATACATACACAAGAGTTCAAAGAGGTCATGTGAGGGACGGGGTCTGTAGCACCAAAGATGAGGAGAAACACGGACACAGCAAGCACCCGCAAGGTGTCACATCATTTCCACTGTTACATGCAGACTGGAGCCGGATGATGGTGTACATTTACCACAGTAGCCTCCACACATTCCTGACACTCTGCTGCCATCCTGTGGACACCGGAGAAATAACACGAGTTATGTGAGGGGATTTAGCTGTAGTTTTTATATGGTAAAAAAAAGAAAAAAATAGTCCACACACCAGAAGCTGCTCCAATCAAATTGAATTCCATCCATCCATTTTCTTTACCGCTTTTCCTGTTCCCGTTGGAACCAGGAACTTCCTCACTGTGAGGCAACAGCACTAACCACTGCACAACCGGGCAGCCCCTAATTTAATTTAAAGATAAAATATCCACCTGTAACATTTCGGGGCTCACGTCGTTCCATCACACATCTGGCAGCTTCTGGTGTGTGGACAATTATTTCTGCCTTTTGATGTCTTTTGTTCAGCACCCAGTACTTAAGTTGTCGGATGTGCGTGCTGTGCTGTTTGACATTTCTGTATGAACTGTAGTTTTATATTACCATTAGCACATTTTGGAAATATTATCAGTCATACAGATGCTTCATATAAGATGACATTTCGTCGAGATCACAGCCAGCATGAGTTTTGAAACTTTTGTTGAGGCCTTATCCCACATCACTAAGCAAAAGAGTCGGGGTGATACAAAAATGAAGCTTGAAGAACGTTCAATGAAGAAACAACCTTTACAGGGAAAGACTTGCCTCTGCCTCTTTAATGTAGTTTTAGAATCCCGTCTTTGTCTTGGGTATTTTCAAGTGGGTTGTTTTTGTGGCTCTGAAATTAGCTTTTCCTTTTCAATACACCCACAAAGACTGAGGCCCACCAGGCAGGGTGTCATCAAGTCTGAATGAAGTCATCACTCTTTGCAACAAGCAAAAATGACACGCTAATTTAATCACTAGTACTTCATGTGCGTGATTTACATTTGACATAATGGGTGGTTTCATCCAAACATCTACAAACAAAAAGGAAATAGCAGCAGACAAGTGCGGCAAAAGCACTCCGCCATGACATGACAGCCCCAGTGTGAAGTGAGTGGTGTGTCTCATCTCCGTTTGAGTGTTTGCTCAGTCCCAACCTGGCTTTATTTAAAGTGCCTGGAGTGTTCAGAGCGGCTCGGCTGGCTATGAATATCAGACTGCGAACATTTTTTGGCATCACAAGTGCCTCATGTTTTCACCAATAAGCCCTCTCCAGCAATGATCTCCATTTCAAAAGAGCGGAGGATTGAGTAAGGGGGGCACTTAAGAGAGCAGCTGCCCAATAAGGGTCCTTCTCAGTCTATGGGGAGAAGTGGAGCTGGGAATACAGAACCCACCTGGAGACCTTGTTTCGCTTTGAGCTCTGAATTGAGCAGGTAAAAGAACAGATTAGAGAAGACGAGGCAAAATATATCAGGCCTAGGTGAAACATAGTTCATAGTGTGTAGCCTGTGATCAGCGCACTAAATCGTGAACAAAACATTACCCTGATACTTAGAGGTAGTCTGGGATGTTCAGTTTAATTGTTTGTCTTTCTTTTTGTAGTGGTAATATTTGAAATACAAAATACATTTCAAATGCAAAATTAAAAAAAAAAACATTTAACTTTTATCTTAAGATATTTGATTTGAAAGGGTACATTGTTCTAACTGATCGTTGTTTTCTGTCTCACTCTGTGAATACTGCTGAAGTCAGATGCGGTGGTGTGTTTGTGCAAGTAAGGGATTAACTCCTTTATCTTAAGTAAACTTTGAGGGCTGTGTCTTTACTTCAAATCATCAACCAATGGTGTCACTTCATAGATATGTACATATGTGTTACTATACTACCAATACCTGTGATTTTTGTACATCAGCCACTGCATAGTTGCCCTGGGAGACCCATGAGACGTCATCAGCCACCTTGAAGCCTGTTCCTGAGAGATTGATCCTGAAGCGTCCCTAAAAAAAAGAAGAGAGTGGAAGAGTTTCAAAATGAGTTCTCACATTTCATGTAGTTAATGTGATGTAATGTTGCAAACCATTCCAATGTGTTTTGATAAAGCAAATTAAAAGTGTTAAGATTAAACACATTCAGCAGAAAAAAAGCAGGAATTGAACATCAGGTCTAATGGTGCTTTCCATTTCATCTCTGAGTTGCAGGTCAGATATCCGTCATCAGGGACGCCTTCAGAAGTCGGAATTTCGACTTGTAAACTTGGAGAACCTTCAGTAGCCCGAGTTAAAATCCAACATGGCTGCTACGGCCATCAACTGTAATGTTTAAGCTGTTACTATAATGTTTATTAGCAGCTTAGTCCTCTTTTTGTGTAATTAAATCAACCACACCGATCGTGCAAGTTCTAGTGAAAGTTATATATGTGCACATGTTGTCATGTTATATTGCCGCAAAAACTATTGTGTAGTGTGATCGTCAGGTACCACCAACACCAGCTCAGAAGCGCTCGCTGTGGGCAGCTCCGTCACTCTGACATCTCTCCATTAATGCATGTCCATAGGATTCTGTTTGTGCAGGTGTGTGTGTTTCAGCCTATGTGTGTGCAGCATGTTCAACAACAGAGTGTAAAATTGAATTTCCCCTCGCTGGATAAATAAAGTAGAACTTCTTCTTGTTGCCAACTCGCAACTGGAACACGTGTGACGTGATTCCCAGATCCGAGATCTGACTTCTGAGGTGGTATGGAAGCCCTTATACATGGCTTCAAACCAGATGACATGCACTACAAGCTTGAATGTAATAGCTCTGTGAGTAGCAGACAGACAAGATAATGCAAAGTATAAACGAGAAACGCCCACTGCTGTTCTTTGTTTCATGAATGAATATTGGTTTTGAATTCATCAATAGTAAATCATTTGTTTGGGGGAAATTTGCGACCATATTACAAAAGAAGGAAGGACATCCACAAAGCTTTGTTTTTTTTTTAACTGCAGACATGTTTACATGTCATTATTGACCAAGAAGATGTAATGACACACTGTCTAAGTAACGAGAAGAGATTTTTAAAGAACCAAACCCTCATTGATACTGTCAGATAGTGAAAGTGTGCTTTCCAGTATCCTGTGAAACAAAGTGACGCTGTCTCCTGCTGTCATAAAATGAAAACAGCTGTTGTTGTTCTCACCTGTGGACAGCGAGCTCCACTGTAGCAGTCTCCAGCTGTGGCAAAAGGAACCCTCTTGCCTTCCGGGTGAAAGCAAACTGCCAATCTGTAGCTGGATCACAAGATAAACCAACGCGGTGACAAATGCTCTTAGAAACGGTATGTTGTAATTTGTCGCTACAGGATCGCAGATGACCCTTTAAAATGAAAGCTTACGTCTGACATAATAACCAACATTTGTTCTATTGGATTGGTCTTAATATAGCCCTACTTTTAGGGCCAGTCTAATATCAGTATAATTTCTTTTCCTCAGAGCAGTTTAATTTGAACCCCCTTTGAGGCTTGTAATTGTGTATTCCTTAAATGAACCTTTAGGACATCTTGAGTCCATTAACCCTCGTGGGCACGTATGTAATTAAATGGCAAAGGAAGTTCTTGTTTGACTGTAATGTAGAGTTAACACTGGTCCGGGATGTGGTTGTTTATATGAGTGTGAATCAGATCTTTTGCATGTGTTAAGAGCCACTTACTGATGATGTTCATATTACTGAGGTCCAGGCGAACTTTGGAGAAGGTGGTTACACCAGCGGCGGTGTAGTCTCTCCGACAGTCACAGTCTTCTCTTCTTGAGCCATTGGCTGGACACTGGGTAGGGTCATTGAGCCTAGTGTAAAAAAAACAAAAAACAACACATGTGCACATACACACATTCAGTACAAAGATACCTTAGCTTAACTTTACACTTCCATGGAATTCATTCATTTAACAGACAAAAACACTGCAAGGAGTCAGTTGGATTTTGTAATGAACAGGCTTGCTCTCGTTGTTATCCTGTCAGCTTTTTACCTGAAGGCAAATATCTCTGAAAAATTCTCTCCTTCTCCAGTCGTCAAGGAAATGTACTCCTGTGGAGCCTCTGTCTGCATTCCTGCACAGTAGACCTGACGAGGAAAAGCAGAGGAGGAGGAAAAGTAGAGATGGTAACCAAAGCGAGAGGAAAGGGATGGAAGTGATAGGGGGCCTTAGAATTATAATAAAGGTGGCTAGGGAAAAGGGGCCCCATATAAGATGGAGCTGGATACTCCAGTTAAAATGACTCCAACAAACTGGTAAGTCTCAGCAACGTAATGAAGCCCCTTCCATTTATTGAACCAAGAAGGTGTGATTGTGCACGATTGAAAGTTTCTGTGTCAAAGCATCTCAAGGTACAAACACAGTTACCTTGCTAAAAAAAAAAAAGGCTCCTCTAAAGCAACTAGTTAACTGCAGAACCCTTAGCACCCCTACTTCCCACGGCTATTACCCATGACTCATTAAAACCCAAAATTATGGGGGGAAATATGGCCCATGTGTAAAAAATAAAACGACTTTGTGCATTTGTGTTTAAATGAGGACATATTCATTTACCTTGATTGACTTTCCTTGTATATTGAGAACATGTTCACTGTCTGGAAGGGGGCCGTTCATGCTCTGGACGTCCAGACAGCTGGAAGGGAAGTTGCCTTGGAGAACAAAAAAAAAAAAGATATATACATGAGAAGGCAGACATAACTGTATTATTAAATGATTCCAAACAGGACAGGCATTCACACAAAGCCCGTATACACACACATGAGCACGCATGCAAAGAAAATTCCAGGAGTTAAGCGAAGTGTGGCAAATTCCTGCAACGAATCAAAGAAAAACTAAAAGCCACCCACTCTTTGATGTCCCATCCTACCGCAGGGAAGAAAATACACTGGACAGTGAATGTTTGATGTTTGCCTCAGATCATAAAAATTTCCCTGAAGGCCAATTCCCTGGATGACCAGATCAGACCAAGGCGTACCTAAAACCAGAATCTGGGATCCATTCAGCTTCCCTCTATGTATCCCTGGTAGTCTTTGACTTTAAAATTAAAATAAATAATAAAGAGCAGCGGTGTCCTTGTAGAACTCACAGTTTGGATTTCTGCAGATTTTTCTGGCCTCTGGAACAGCACCTAGGGAACACTTATTGCTCTGCTGGCCATCCGCTGAAACACACTGCACTGTCCTCTCCATCATTCCTTCACCGCAGCTGACTGAACACTGGAGGAAGAGAGCCACAGAAGTGTGAAAAGAAAACTTGTGGATGACTGTCAGGTCTAACTTATGACTGCCGAGTTATGATTTTAGCCATGACATGAAGGGTTAAGTCTAATGTACGAGATTTCAAATCCCATTTAGATACAAATATTGTGCATTGTTATGAGCTCTTTCTGAAAATTGCATTTTTTTTTGCGTCCAATATTTCACACTAGTATTGATAAAACGCCTCTTATTTCAACACTAGGAATTGAATGCATTTGAATAAACTGCTCGTTTCGCTAAATTCTCCACTCAAGTTGTAAAAAAAAGAAAAAAAAAACCTTGCCGAGGTCAGTAGAGGGTGAAAGATTTGCTCACCAGACCCCAGATTCCAACCCGCCACTCCTGTATACGCGGGCACGGGTCCAGATGACAAGGCATGTAGCTCTCAGGAGGGGTCCCTGGACAGTTGGACAAAGACTGATGGCCATACTCGTAGTTGTCATTCTCCACATGCACCTCGCTGCAGGAGATCAGACGCTGACGGTAGCCCTGGCCACAGCTGGATGAGCACTGGAGGACGAGATAAATCATTGGTATGAAAAACAACGACAACAACAACAACAACAGCCCTGCTCAGGACACGTGGGTGATTTCTGTCATTTCTGCACTTGACTAAAAGATGACGATTCACATGAATGGGTTGTTTGAAAAGTGAAGTGTTGCCTTTCCTTCAAGCCTTTAGTAGAGCAGTACTATTTAAATGGCACGCAGTATCTTTTGCTCTCACCTCAGTCCACTCTCCTGTGATCCAGATGTACTCACAGGCCTGGGGGTTACAGCTCTCTATGTCTGGAGGTCTGATCTGGTTCACACAGTAGATCTCATGCACCTCCTCCTGGTTGTGGTCCACACACTGCAGGGTTCGTCTTCGGTGGCCCGCCCCACACGACTTACTGCACTGTAGTGGAGAGACAAGACAGAGACGGGCCTTTTACAAACACTGCAAGTCAGGTAGGAGTTGTGTTAGACATTCTGAAATTATATAGAAAACAATGATTTTTTTTCCTTCAGTGAAACTGGACCTGATTATATATGCAAATAAAGCAGAGCGTAACAGTCATAGATTTGTGTTTTCCAGTAAGGCAGTATCTTCACCGCGAGAGACTTTAGCATCAAAATGTGAAAAGAGGAGAACACAGAGCAGGAGGAAAGCTCTGTGGGTTTTGAGCTGAAGATCCTGAGCTGTCGACACTGCCAAGTCCAGAAAAGAGATTACACAACTGTTAACTTCTGTAACTGCTTACAACCTCTGCCAACAGTGAGTTCACCAAGAGTCAACGCCTGCCTTAAGTCTTAGCATCCAAATGGTCCCAATGTAGACAAAATGATTATCATAGAGTCAGTGCTTTAACAAATGAATAAGTCTGATAGATACATGAAAAGAAATGCATGTTCATCATTTTATACAAGTATAGACTCATAGAAGATACAGTGTCTGAAAAAGAAATGATGGTTTTAAGTATTATTCAACATTTTGAAAATATTTGTTATTTATTTTTTGGTCAGGCTGGGATACAGATAGCATGGCTTATAATAGATAGCATAGCTTAGCTTAAAAAGAAGCAGAAAACAGCTAGACCTTCACAGAAAGTGAAAGCATCTTTGCTGAAAAAAAAAAATGTGATGGCAACTTGCTCCAAATAAAGCGACTAGTTGTCGCTTTGTGTTTCTGTTGTAACCAATCAAACCACAAATTAATGTCACATTCAAAGTGTTATGATAGAGGACCTATGAAGGATTTATGGACAAGGTAAAACTAGCTGTCGTTATGCTATGCTAAGCTGAGTACTGGCTGAGGCTCCACTTTGAACACATAGTCATGAGGATTGCTCATCCAAATCAAGGCAAAAAAAGGAGGTAAGCACATTTTCTATAAAAAAAAAAGAAAAATATCGGATTGTTCTATAAAAGTGATGATTATTTATGCAACATTTCCTTGACTATGAGTCAGATGTCTTACTACATCCATACCCGACTATTCAGCATTCAAGTTGGCAAGATTTGTAATTTAAGCACTCAACGTGTTGACACGGGCTCAGAGAGGCAGAAACACTCTGTGGTGAGGTTGGGGTTCTGGTAGCGCAGTGGTTAGTTCGCGTGCCCCATGTATGGAAGTTGTAGTATTCCAAGCAGGCGGCCCAGGTTCAAATCCAGCCTGTGGCTCCTTTCCCGCATGTCATTCCCCTCTCTCTCTCTCTCTCTCTCTCTCTCTGATTTCCAACTCTATCCACTGTCCTATCTCTCCATTAAAGGCACAAAAAGCCCAAAAAAGAAACACTCTGTGGTGCTATGCATGCTGCTGTCTTCATCACTCTTCACTGTGTTGAGCGCTGTCAAACAACTGTCACACCTGGAACAGCTTCTGTGCGCGGTGCTGCCACACCACCCAGGTGTAAAGCTGACCCTGCTTGACGGATGGATAGACAGAGCTTTTGAGGCAAACGATTTCCTTCTACATGGCATGTGCGTTGGGAAGTAAAATGTTGTTCTCAGACATCTTCCCCTACTGTATTTATTGTCCTAATGTAAGTGCATAAAACACTCAGGAATTTTAACCCCTGCCAGGTGAACTGTTCTACTTACTTCCAGCTGTTAATTGGGACGCCCAGGCAGGGTGCTCTTAAAAGTTCTCCAGAATAATTAGACTGTCCTGTGTGAGAAGACATGTCACGCTGCTCATTGACCCAGATTCAACATCACTTGAACACAGTGAAGAGCCTCCTGCTGCAGCTGCCTGTACTAATCACCCCCAACCCTCAACAACCTTCTGTAGCCTCTAGCCTATAGAAAACGGCTGGATCTTACTCAGCAGGAATGTATCCATTCAATAAAGTTAGACAGGACTGCAGGCTAAGATCTTCAGAGTTATTACAATCAGAGATAAATAAACCTCTACATGTGGTTTCTAATGTTTATTAACAACCGGAAATAAACGTGAACAATAAAATAGTTGAATCAATATCTGTTTAACATTAAACATAATGCTGAAATGAACAAACAGTCTAAAGTTGTTGGGTATTGATAGTTAGATTCATTGTAGTTTTAAATTAAAGTAAAAATCTTGCTGTTCTGCTTAATGTGAATTGATGGCAATTTGATTTGACAATTAAAAAAACAACAACTGCCATTCTGTTTTAATTCAGAACTGCAATTTTTTAACCAGAAATGGCAGCACCTAAAATAAATTAGTCAAAACTCTCACTCTTTTAAGTTTAAATACATTATTGGGAGTAATTTGATGAGTGCAAATGAGTGCATTTAAAGCCGAGTGACTTTTCTACCGCTTCTTAAATAAGGGGATTGGCCAATCAGCGTTCACACTGAAGTAACATTCATTCTGAAACGCTGCTGTGTCTGATGAAAAAAAAAAGAAAAAAAAAAAAGGCTGCTCATCTGATCTCTATCAAGGCCATGCAGCAGCAGCAGCAGCAGCTCGCCTGCTCTCTCTCTCTCTCCTCCCCTCTGGCCTCCGACTGAGGCAGCCAGTCAGACTTCACCAAAAATGACTGACAAAAAAAAAAAAAAAAAAAATCACCCTCGCCCTGTTTTTTCGATTTAGAGCTTTTCCCCTTACCGTCTGCCACTCTCCTTCTCTCCACCGGTACCGGGAGGGACAATCAGCGACCCGGCAGCTCTGGCTGGACGCCGGTCTGGAGCGCTGAGAACAGCCGCTCTCCTGCACGCTCCGTCGGCCTCCGACCTGGCAGGACACGTCCCGGCGCTGGACACCGTCTCCACACGATGCTGAACACTGAAAGCAAAGCAGGTAAGACCTCGAAAAACTCTTATCCAACCGCTGTTACTCCAAGTACAGTAGACCTTTGCAATATTGTTTTACTTCACGTGAATATTCAGCTATCGCGACACGAATAAAGCCTCGAAATTATGCGAACTTTACGATGTTTCTACTTATTTTTAAAGCTATTGTAGGCTATAGCATTAAAATTGATAATATATATTATTTGCTTGATTTCTATGTATTTATTTATTGTACCTGTTGTAGGCTATTTAATTTTGGCTTTAAGACTACTCCCAAACTCATCAAGGCTTTGACCTGTTGTGTCCCTTCATCTTGTATTTTTCCAGGAGACCTTTTTTTTTAGAATCCATTCCAAATGATTGATATTTAATTACATGTAAAAACATTTAATTGCATCACACACACACACACACACATATATATATATATATATATTATTTTATGAACCCATGCATTGGAGATTTCAGCTACGGCCTTTAAAAGACAAATGCAACACAGGGCTTTACATTGTAGTATTATTTGTTTGGATTGGTCTTCTTCAATCAAGCCTCAGTGTTTATAATGAAGTCATTTGGTTTTTATGTTTGTCTCTACAGAAGAATTTCAAGATGGAGCTTGGGAAAGCCGTGGTTTTGTGAAACTGTGTAGGCTTCAGCAGAAGTGTTTTTAATAAAAGTTTGTGTTTTCTGCTGCAGCTAATGAAGAACACATTTCTACAAAAAAAAAAGAGAATAAGAGTGGGATAAAGAATCTGAGATGTCTGTTTTTTTTCCTTTTGCCAAATATGTTCAGCCCCTGACCTTAATAACTCAAACACTTCAATGATTTGATCAAAGCATACTTTGTCATTTTTTAAAATGTATAAAAAATGTTTGGAGTTTTTAACTCATAGTAACTTGATATTGTCTTCTCTCTTTTCAGACAAAAGTTTGTGACTCCTTACAATTACTGCATCCTTGAAACAAAAGGAATGACACTTTTATCTCATATTGTTGCAGGTAAAGACACCAGAAGCCATGAACATATCTGAACAGTCCAGGTGAAGTGACATCAGATGTTTGGATCTGTTAGTTTCTGCAGCTTCAGTTTTGAACATGTATTAATATAAAAATAGAAGTATTTACAGGTCTTTCACTATTTCTCTGTTAATTCAGAAATGTTAAATGGACATGAGCTCAAATAGCTTTTTTCTTGTCTTTCTGACTCCTCAAAGTGCTTTATACACCACAGCTTACACCTACCCATTCACACCCTGGTGGTAGAGGCTGCTGTGTAAAGTGTCCTTCAGTACAGTATTAACTTATCCATTCATACACATTCACACGCCGCTGAAATAGCAGCAGGAGAAATTTGACCAAGGACACTTCAACACGTGACTTCAGGAGCTGGGGATCAAACCCCTGACCTTTCAAGTTGAGAGACGACCGACTCTACCACTGAGCGGATGCAGCTATGCAGCCTGCTGCACCATTAGTTACCATGCTGTACTTGTCTAAGAGCCTTTGCGTGGAATATCGTTCTCTCCTGGCATGTGTCCTGCTTACCAGCTGCTGTAAGCAGACGCACATCCTCTCTGACGTATGGAGCACAGATGTGGCTCTGTGCTCTGTGGGATAAACTCACAGTAAGAGGACATAGGAAAAGAGAGAGGGAAAAAGATAGAAAAGGAAAGAAAAAGAACCAGACATGCTCTGAGGGGCTCTATGCAGCATGGTAACGTTAGTGGATAGTCTCTTTTATTTGACATTAAACAAACATTTGTTTCCGTTTGAGAGGCAGATGTTAAAGATGCAAAAAGATGTATCAGTGAGTGCAAGAGCACCAAGAAGAGGGAGGATGAAAGGGACAGAGGAGGGTGAAGTGAGGGTCAGAGGAAGAGAAAATAAAGATCATCATGACAGGAATAGATTTACGCAGGCTTGACTTCAAATCAGTGAAGCACAAATCAAAGAGAAGGGTGCACATCCGTCCGACTGTCTTACGAGCTGTACTGTTCTGTGCAACAGCCACCATGTAATGTGTAAATGCATGCTGCCTTAGTTAGTGTCCTGGCATGGCGCATAAATACAGTCCGGTTGAGCTGCAGATGTTTTCACACAAACCCACATACTTGCCAGCAAGCTGGTAAGAATTATCAAGGAGTGAGAGAAAAAAAAAAAACGTCTGGCTACGTGAGAACAAGACTGGTATGGTATGTGTGTTTTATAGCTGGGTTGAAAAAGTCCTACCTCTCCCCAGCTGCCAGTCTTCCACTTGGTACATCGTCCTCCCCGACAGCGCCTCTGCTTGCTGGGTTTGGGGGACAAGGGCTGGCAGTTTTCCTCTGTGACAGGACGGCCTGATCCAGTCACACAGCTCACCTTGCGGGACTTGAAACCTCTTCCACAGGAGGCCGAGCACTGCAAGAAGTGAAAGAAAACAACGGGTTGAATTGAAGTTTAAAGGTATGCATAGGGGTAAATCATTTATGTGTTTTTATCTTGTTATTTGTAACTCAAACAACATGATTGTGATTAGAAAAGCCTATAATTTGTCGCATTTAAGCTATAATTTAAATGAAGTAAAAATATTCATCGAACACACAAACGTCTTAGACAAAAAAAAAAAAAAGAAGTGAGCAGCTAGTCCAATGGCAGCGCATTCAGGAACAACCCGGCAGCAGTTTGTTTTACCTCCGGGTTCACCAAGTTACTGAATGTCTAACTCATTTTGACAGGTGAACACACACACACACACACACACACACACACACACACACACACACACACACACACACACACACACACACACACACACACACACACACACACACACACACACACACACACACACACACACACACACACACACACACACACACACACACACACACACACACACACACACACACACACACACACACACACACACACACACACAGCAACAGAGGAGGGACTGGAGAAGGGGCTGGACTGTGCTTGGATAATCAAAGGGGGCGTTGCATGTGAGGATGGATGGAAAGCGACAGACACAGAGTTGAATGAGTGCGCAGCTCAGCGTGTGGTGCTGTCCCGACCAGCGAGGGACTCTACTGGACAGGAACACCCTGCGACCTCTCACTCCATTTAACAGGGAGGAAGAAATGCAAGTTCCAATCGAAAACCTGGGAAAGCCGTTGTATTCCAAGTTGGTTTTTCATATTTGTCCTTTTATTGGAGTTGATCATGTTGTAAGTGATGTTAGTTGCCAAATGATTAAATCATTAAATACAAAAGAGGGTGATTCTGTTTAGTTTTTTTTGCAGAGAAATAAAGTAAATGGGTCAAATCAACATGGAAGTGATTTTTGTGCAAACATTGTGATTGAATAAAAGTATATTATACTGTGTTGTTTTTGTGTCTTTGGGACAGTGAATTTTTTTTTTACATTTTGCACGACGGCATTAAGTTTATGATAACAATCATTTTACATAAACTGGATAGTGTGTTGGTCCTCTCAGGAGTAACTGAGCTATTCTGTAAAGGTTTTAGTCAATGAAGGAAAGCATTAACTCTACAGGGCGATTTTCTTCATTGTTGCTCTGTTCAAACTTAATCCCTCAAAAGTTTTCAACGCTTTGCTCAAAACGCTTTCCTGCTGTTGCTCTACGTTAAAATGTCCTCAGAAAGCCTTGAGAACCAGTGCTAATGGGTCACATTAAAGCGCCATGTGTTTTATTAGAACATGCAGGGTTCATTAGCTTTGCCCACAAGTCCTCCAGGTTCTGTAATTATCTCAACAGTTGACTGATACAAACATCCCCACTCACACATAACAGGAACCGAGCCTTTATACATGAAATATACAAATGATAAGTATGTTTTTGCATCAGTTTATTATTCAGGGTGTTGGGTGTGTTTTCCACCGTTGCAGAGCTGGTTGTTCATTCCTTGCACGTCTGGTCTGTGTGCTGAGGTTTTTCTTGGGCAAGACATTAAACAAATTGGATCCTGATGGGAAGGCAAAGCATTGCATTGAAGCTTTGACGCCATTGGTGTGTGTGTAAAGGGATAACTGAAATGATTTTTTTTTTTTTTTTTTTTAAAGATTGATTTTTAGACTTTTTTATGCCTTTATTTGAAAGATAGGACATTGGATAGAGTTGGAAATCTGGCAGAGACAGAGAGTGGGGGAATGACATGTGGGAAATGAGCCACTGATCAGATTTGAACCTGGCTTGCTGGCTTCAAGGAAAATAGCCTCTGTATACGTGGGGCGTCCATACTAACCACTAGGCCACTGGCGCCACGTGGCCAGTTTTAAAGAAATGTGTCTGTAATGGAAGCTCCTTTATGAAGATGCAGCATATTGACAATAATGCTACATGGAATTGACTAAAAATGTTTTAGTCACCAGTCTGATTATTCTTAACTGACGTTGATAAAAATGCAGTAGATGATGTGAAACTACAACTGTGCAACTTTAGGTACGCAAATCCCGAAATGCAAAGCATGAGTCAGCACCATTGGGAATGAAACTGACACACTTTACATTCTGGCATTGTGTCAGGGAGTCCTGGTCAGCTCTCTTTCGTTCCCCTTCTCTCTCTCCCCCCCATCCCCAGATCACAACGATTTCCCAGAAGTCTGTCTGTGCTGAATGGGCGAACCGGGAAGGGGCCCCTCCCCTGATCAAACATGACCCTTGACCCACCAATACACCAATGCATTGTCTAACTGGCGCCCCCCCTAATTCATGGCACTGTCAATGGCCCCAACATTGGTACACTGTCATCAACCCACATTAGTCCAGAGTAGAGGGGCCTGACAGGAAGGGCCAAAGGGCGCTAGCTAGTTCATAGAGTAGCACGCGTCACCAGGCGTCCCAGAAAGAGCCAGGGTGGGCATTAAGAGTGAATGTTGTACTGAGCTGTTGTCAAACGGGATAAAGATTTGCCTTGACCGAAAGAGCTTTGAACTCCTGACGGCAACAATGAAAGCACAATCGCTCAAAGAAGTCCGCAGAGACTACACCACCCTTGTTCTCGCGTTGAAGTCGGCGGAGACCACACATTGAATATGAAGAATATTGCGCCGTGATTTGTGCATTTTCATGACGCAACGAAAGGCCATGTTGGAAAGCTTGGCAAGAAAGATGCTTTGAAGGCTAAATGTCTATATGAGGTCTTTCAAATCTTTTAGCCAAGCTTAAAGCACTAAATCATAAAGGAGACTTCCTTATTGACAAACACACTGTTAATACCTTTAAGCTGGAGTTAGCATTATGAAGTTAGGGATGTAAGCTGAACTACAGTATTGCAAAGAGTGAGACCATGCAAGATAGAATCGTTGTCATTTTGAACATTATAACTTTTTAATTTGATTTCCTCATGAATAAAGTATACTTTGTTTCGTTAAGCAGTTCTAATATGGAGGGATGCAGATGTACAAATATTTGTCCTTTTATTACATAATACATGAGTGACATTGAACCTATTGACTACAGGGATTGCCTTTGTCTTGGTATTAGGTCTGCAGAGTGTAGGATACAAGAGTTAATGGTAGTTGTGAAATAAGACCTTCAGATTTATACATTTAAATGGACCTCATCTTTCCTAAACGTAGAGCTGTCTTTTTGCTCAATAGGAAACACACTTGTAAGTGAAAATGCCAACTATAGATAATTTATAAGTCTGCATAAAGTTACCCCAATTCCCTAACTTGATATGTTTTTCATTTTTACCTATCCGTAAGTATCAGGAAGTAGTGTACAGTGCAGAAAATGAATCTCATTATGAGCGATCATGTTGTACACTACGAGCCATTATCTGAAACTTTACCAGGATGTTTTGTTCAAATAAGAAAGAAAAAGCCTTGGGTAGTCCCTCTACTTCACTTTAATCGTAACCTTTTCTGAAAATGAACAAAAATCCAACAAATTCATAAAAAATTAAATATTGACATAACATTATAATGTAGTAACAATAAATACAAGTAATTACATTAATGTACAGAAATCTTCTTGAAACACAGACTAATACTGCCATATGCGAATAAGAGACATTCAAAATACTTATTTCAAGAGCCTGTTGATATAGTGTTGGATCTGTACTGCTGTCTGAACCAAACTGCTAATAAGATGAAGGACACCATGAAGAATGATGGAATGTGCTGAGGTAATATTTTGCTCTTCCTTCCCCAATTTGAGCTAGATTTGCATTAACACTACCTTACAATCACACACGTGGAAGTCATTACAACCGGTAGTTCTCGTTAGTAAATGATGTGTGGTAAAAAAAAAAAAAAATGTACTCACTGCTGTGTTAACAGGCCCTTAAAATAAGGTTTGATGTCAGTACAGACATTTATGACCGGGAGAAGTCCACTGGGTGGGCTGCAAGAAAAAGCTGCCCCTAACCACAGATTCTGGATCAGTTTTCACTGCCCTGGGCAGGATTGGAAGAATTAAAAGGTGGAAGTTGACACACACCCTGGATTTGTGTTTAGGGCCATCAACTGCAATGGTAAGCCTAAACAACTCATGCTTTATGTCAGCCAGCCAAAACCCCTCCAGTGCACGGGAGTGAAAGATACGGCAGGGGGGCTTTCATAACAGAGACTGAGGTAGACACATTAGGTTGGCTCAGAGTAAGAGCTCTGAATACAAAACACTGTTAACTTCCCCTGTGGTCACTGGTATCATGTGTTCAAACAGGACATTTTAACAGCACATTCTCTTAAAGGTCGAGACAGATGTTTGGACATTAGAAGACAATTCCTCATTGTTTCATCAAATCTGTGATCCACTTTGCATTTAGCTGATCAGGCGGATCAATCCACTAACTGCTAATGTAAAGAAAATAAGTACAGAAAAGTCAGCATCAAAAATCCATGTGCAATAAAAAACACACACAGCTGACCAGAATATGATATATACATATATAGAAATGTGTATATATATATATATATATGTATATATCATCTCCCTTGTTTGGCCAAAGCACCACTATAGTGTAGGTTATTATAGTTTAATGGCTAGTTGAGTTGTGTTTTGTTCCAAGTGAGGTATTGTTGCGCATAGCATATTAAGCAACTCCAAGTACTAACTTTACAAAGAAAACATGAACCAACACAATATAAATATTCATATCAAGCACCTTTGGAGCAGAGAGCCTTCAACTCATTGTTTTGGCCACACCAAAGAAATCTGGGTCAAAAGCCTCTGCCAAATACAATGGCTATTAGTTCTAATTACCACAAACATGGTGAGACACTTTATTTCACAGCGTTGTACGGCTGCTGTTTGCTGCTGTTTACAGTTGAAACTGGATATTTCACAGACTCTTGAGTCAAAATATTGATGCTGCAGTGTCAAAGTCATTTTGGGCAAACCAATGGTTTCATAGCAGAGGGTATGTACATCAACTGTAAAATAAAGTGTCTAAATAAGATTAGTAACTTCTCTAAAAAAAACACATGTGCCTTGAGACAAATTGAATTCTTGAAACAATAGCCATTTCAAAAATGTATGTAGTACATAGTTGTATATAAAATTCACGGCCCTGTGTATGTTGGTGCTGTATTGTCAGAAACAGAACATCAACAATGTCAAGCACCATATATTTGGAGATTATGGGCCATTCTTTGGATTATAAAAGAACAAGGCATGGTACTGTATATTCCTGATATACAAAAACATTCATCAGTATTTGCATATAAACATTGATTGGCTATATGTGCGAAAACAAAGAGCTAAGACACAAAATAAATCACTTTCAAAGTTAATGCTATATACAAAAGATATAAAGGAAAAATATCTTAATAAATTATCTTAGCAAAACAATATTTTACAAAACTATTTTGATTGCGATACAAAGTGATCCTGAATTTTATGAAAAGACTAAAACAAGGCTCAACAGTTGTATGAGAACGTGGACTGATTAAAAAAATGTTCTTATGGTCACAGCTGTCACTGAAGGGTTTTGTGGTGTCGTACTTTTTTGGCATGACAAGTAAGTCTATCTTTGCCTTTTAAGTGCAACCAAAATGAACTCTCCAAACATCTCGAGGAAACGTTGACCGATTGCAGGCACCAACGAGGGTCAAGAAGTGGAGGGGTTAAAAGTAAAGGAGAGTAGTGGGATTTACATTCCTCCAATGCAGGAGCACCATAGACTGTTTGTGAAAGAATGAGACTAACAGTATTTGTACAAATGTGAGGTTGACAAACAAGGTATAAAGTAGTTTTTATGAGCGTACCGAGCTCCATGGGTCTGTGCTCCAGTGGGGGCTAGATGGGCATGGCTGAGTATTGCACTGCTCACGATCTGGTGGCTTGTCATGGATTTCGCAGCTCAGATCATTGAAACGTTCCCCGTTTGGACGCTGACACACGACCAGCCTTGTCTTTATCCCACCTCCACATGGCTTGGTGCACTGAAGACAGCAGTAGGAGAGATAGTGGTTTACATGTGGGCATAGGGAAAGTAATTTGAAGAGTTACGAAAAAAAGTATTATCTCTTTTCTCAGAAAATATTTGTCTCAGGCCAAGTGCGGAGAATATGAGCCAGAGCCTTAAAGGATTTATAATGTTATTCTAAACCTACACATTAAGCAAATCTGGCAGTCAAAGTTACTGTTTTAACATAAATTAGCCAGTAAGTTTTACACTCCGTCTCTGTATGCTAGATGTGTCTGTCAGGGGGGAGCTCTGATGTAAACAGCAGTAAAGTGGTGTTTGTCTTACCTCTCCCCAGTTGCCATAGATCCACTGTGGACATGGCCCCGACTCACAGGACCGTTGCTCACTGGGCCGGCTGCGGTCCTCACAGCTATTGGCAGGGTACCCATTCTCATCCTGGCACACTACAACACGCCGCTGGAAACCTCCTGCACATGTGCTAGAACACTGATGTTACAGAGAGAAAATAGTGCACGTTGTTAAACTCAGGTGTAAATAGGGATTTACATGTATTGTATATTATTTACATTACATAAAGAAATAAAGGCTTAAACATCCACCAAAGTACAAGTCTCAGCTCAATGACTAAATCAGTGTGTTTTTGTGTACACATATGAACTATAGGGAATCTTTTGACAGCCAACAAAGGCCCCACTCCATTAGAAATTCAGAGACAAAGACATCCCATATACAAAGACTGACCATGACTGTTGCTGCTTCTATTCTAAAATCTGCTTCCTCAGGACAGAGGAAGGAAAAGTCACCAGAAATAGATTTGATTACTTCCAAGAATTATTCAAAAGTCAAAGCTATTTTTAGATAAAGATAATCACTTCTCCTGTTTTAAGAAAAAAAACAACAACAGCTAAGGGCTACAGTAGGGGGAGGGAGAAAGAGCCTGTGACTTTGGGTTACACTGACCAATGGTCTTACATCACAATAAATAAGGCCTTGTCTTAAAAATAGGGAATGACCTGGAGAAGAAAGAAAACTAATTTCCTCACTCCAGCTCTCAAATTCATACCGAATATTACTTGTTAGCTGTTATGAAATATTTTTGATGATGCTGGATGCAAGATGCCTCACCGCGCCCCAGGGTCCAGTCCGCCATTGGTGGGATTGGCTGCGTGGCAGGTTGTTCCTGGTGTCGGTGTTTGGTGAGGATGGGAAGGGTCGGGAATCACTGCTGCGGGAGGGGCACTGAGACATAGCACAGTCCTGCTCTGTGGTGGGACGATCATCTTGGTCACACTCATTCACATTCACTTCTTGGTCACTGTAGTTGACGCAGAGTACCTGGCGTGTTGTCTTCCCCTGACCACAGGTTACTGAGCACTGAAAACACATATCCAGTGGGTAAAGAGATTATTCATATAGATTTGTATTTGACACGTTTTGGCTTTGAAATAACTTTGAAATATAAGGCAGTTCTTGAGAACAAGCTACAACTAAAAACTTCAGCTGCAGTCAAGTTGGAGTATTTCTTAACTGAGAACAAACATTGTAGGTCTTTGTAAGCTCTCTAAATTAGATATTGGTTAACAGCAGCATAAATGTTTTGCCACAACGGTGAAAGTGAAATGAGTTCTGGGAAGAAGCAGCAGGAAGATATCAAAGTCTTATCCATTTTTGCTATAAGCGGTGCATAATTATTCACACACACAACACATTTTTGTCACTTGGAACTTAATTCAATACATTTCTTCACAGTCCTGATATTAAAACTAATCTGCGCATCACACCCTGTGGGGCAGGGAAGACCGTCATAGGGGACTCTCTCCACCTCGATTCAGGACCTATATGAAGACAGATGTAGGAACAGAGCCCTCTGCATTGACAGAGAGTCTTGCCACCCTGCACGTGGAGTGTTTGATCTGCTGCCGTCTGGAAGGAGATATCGCTCCATTCAAGCTAAGACATCGAGAATGAGTGAGAGTTTCTTTCCAAAGGCCATAAGACTCCGTCACAGCCGAGCACCCTGCTCCTGAAATCCACTCAACATGCTACCTTTTAAGTTATTTCCAAACATATATGTTTTTAAAGCCTGATTTTAATGTTGCCACTGATTGCACTTTTTTCTTTTCTTGTTATTTTTTAATAATTGACAAAGGACATGTTTCTTTTAGTCCTGCTAATGATGTGAGGTAATGATGTTGAGCAATGCAGTGTTTGTTCGACTGTATGTATGTTACACAGCTCTGGATGGAATGACAATCAAAACTTGAGGTGTTGATCCCATTTTCACGCTGACAAGCCGTCACAATGTGACTACAAACAAAACTATGACAATGCTCATCTTTGCATTTGTTCAAAGCCAATTAAAGGTACGCTTATTTTAATGTGAGTATGGCAACTCATTTAAGTTTAACATGACAACAAATGGCCATGGCTCTGGCTATGGCTGACAATTCTGTACAGATTTTAAGGACCAATTGCATACCTTCCTTTAAAGGAAAAAATATATGATACTTATGCTGCCAAGAACTAATGTGTCACACTAAGCCCCCTCTAAATCATAGACCATTCTCTGTCTTACATAAGTTGATCTATTATATCTATGAAACAGTTGTCTACTCTAAAACCTGTGTGTGTGTGTGTGTGTGTGTGTGTGTGTGTGTGTGTGTGTGTGTGTGTGTGTGTGTGTGTGTGTGTGTGTGTGTGTGTGTGTGTGTGTGTGAGTGTCCGAAGGCTAGACAGGCCTCCAAAGTCTTTCTGACCTAGGGATGAACTGTATTCTTTTTGGGGGTTCATTGATTACCTTTGCCTGGTGGTACATGTGTGGGTGTGTATGAATGTGTGTGTGTGTGTGTGTGTGTGTGTGTGTGTGTGTGTGTGTGTGTGTGTGTGTGTGTGTGTGTGTGTGTGTGTGTGTGTGTGTGTGTGTGGGTGTGTGTGTGTGCGTATGTATGGTGACCAGACCAGCAGTCTGGTTACACTGTATCACCAAGCCTCTGATGAGAAACATCTGCAAACACGACTGGAGCCCCTCACTGGAGCTCTTGCGTTATAAAGCTTCAGAAACGTGTTCCTCACTCCAGCTGTATCGCTCTCCATCTCTCTTTTGCTCCATTTCATACAAACTCTCTCTTTCCAGATGTCCACCTTTCTTTACTTCTGTCTATGCACAAACATCTATGTGGCATGTGCAGGCACTAATTGTCAGTGTAGGAGAACAATCATGTACAATATGCTTAAATAAATAAACCTTGAAAAAGAAAACATCTGATGACATGCAATTTAGGATAAACAACACTGCTGTTAGTATAATGAGATGCAGAGCTGAAAGAAAAGGCTCACTGATTAAAATGGAAAATTGTTTTACAAATGCCAAGTTAATCTGAAACGGTTCTCTACACATTTGAGTGAGCCTTTATATTTGGGAGCAGCTACTTCACCCTCTGCATATAAATCATTATTATGAGAAAATGTATGATAACAACATTAACAATGCCAATGGGTGGTTATCTTACCACTGTCCATTCCAGCACTTTCCACTGTCCACAGGCCACTACTGAACACACTTCCCGAGCAGGGGGTTTCGGTAGGTGGGCACACGCCGACTCTTCTGCTACACCACCCTGGTTGTCACGGCAACTCACGTACCGCATTCGTGTCCCTTTGCCACAACTGGCACTACACTGTTGTAAAGATGAGAAATGTTAAGAAACTGGAAACCAACAAAAAGACACGCAAGGCAGATGTGACAAGACAACCCACCTGGGTCCAGGAACCAAATCTCCACTGAGTTTTGTGGCTCTGGTGGGAGGGGACTTTGGTCCCTGGGAGAACAGGATGGTTGCTGGGACACTGGGCCAGTTCACAGTCCTGTGGAAAGGAGGACACACACATACACCCATTTATGCAGTGATTAACAAAATGAATACACTGTAACAACATCTGTCCCTGACCACAAAATACCACGAATATCAGAGGTACTCCTTTTGACATGGGACAGCCATTAAAGTCATACTATATTGCCCTTGCAATGCATTTGAGGGAAGTTGTGTTATACCACCACCCAAACTCCTTAACAAAACAGCACTATCAGGGTCCCCCTAGTCAGTTCAAACTATGGATTGTGGCAGTAAGCCACTCAGCATAAAGCCCTGATCCCTGTCATAACAGGTCATAGTGGAGTGGTATTCAGGGCTCCAATGCCCATGCTGGCGTGGTTGTAAACTCCACCCCTAATCCACCCCCTTGTCCCTCACCTTCCGCCCTTTCTCTTTTCCCCCCATGCCCTCTGGTGCCCTCTGACCCCACATCTCTAGAAAAGTGCCTTAATCAGGTCGCACAGGCTCTGAGCAGGCTCCACATTCCACACTCTGCCTCCTAACCATGCAAATAGCTGTCATGGCAGTGCTTGAAGTAGTTCTTTGCACATTTCCTTTACGACTTACATTTTACATGCATTAACTGAAATGATCACGAGTCTGTGAGTACCGAGTACACTCTACAACTTTAAAGCTTAAACAAATCATATAATAGGCCGGAGTAGTGGGTTCAGTCTTTATCTCGTTTTTTTTTCTAAGGTGTTGAGGAAAGCATCTCTTGGCTACACCTCTCTCATCCTTGTTCTCAGACCTCCATTGACCTGCCCCTCTTTTTCTAAGGCCTGCTTGGTGACTGGTGGTGGCGGGACTGTTGAGCTGGTGGCCCACTTCATGGCTGGCTGGTTTGAATCACAACGAGGTGAGGTGACTGCTTCAGGGTCACTGACTCTGCTAGCCCAGGCTCCGGAATTAAGAGCTACTGGGACTACATGGGGGCCCCATCCTGAGTTTGCATGCTCAGCCTTCTGAAATAGGTTTACACCCCACAGTGATCACACAAATCATTTATTCAGTTCAAAACTTGTTTTGTGGTTTCTTTGCGTCTCTTGGCATGTAAAGACAACACAATAATCCATACTTACAATCCTGAGGGAGTCAAACTATCGAACAGCCAACATGTTTTCAGGCACCATTACCAGTAGATAAATAGAAACAAAGTTATTTTAAAGTCTAGCATCACTTTTGTAACTGAATATTAGGCAGAATATTATGTGTGTTATCAAGTCTCTAGTCAACCTATCACATGTACGGGATGTTTTGAAACCAGGCATAGGCATGATGCATAACATGTCTCTTAGAAAAGAAGATACGATTATTCTAAAGAATAACACTTGGGTCATTCTTCACTGCTTGAGCATTTTTTCAGGAATTCTGAGAGTTTTGTGTCTTTGTGGGAATAGAAGGGTTGCTAAAACCCTCCCCTCCCCTCAGTCTTTCCCAGTAGACCAGACAATGTTTTATTGAGACCAGGTGGAAACATATGTGTGTCTGTGTGTGTTTGAGTGTCAGTCTCTATGAACAAGGATGCTTCCTTCTCTCCTCACGGTATAAATCAGTTTGAGACTTAACATTCAAACAACTGTTGCTCACATACAAGGTTGACATAAAGATAAATATAGAAATAGATAAAACAAATAATTTAAAATAAGATAGATAGTTAAAAGAAGATAAAATAAGAAATGATGCAATAAAGGAAGACGATATTGCCCTCCTTACCTGGGTGTCAGTGGGTCGGGTGGCAGCATTACATTCAGTGTCATCCATGACAGCACCATAAGAGCCAACTACACACTTCACTGCTCGCATCTGGTAGCCTGGCCCACATGAGGTAGTGCACTGGGTTCACAGAGGGAAAAAAAAGGAGAGGTGGAGGAGCATAAGCAACAGTGAGGCAAATAAAAAAGGAGCAAAAGGCAAGGATTGCAGGGAAAACAGATGGCTCATCAGAGCCAACAAAACAACACCCATGAAAAAAAACAACAAATAAAAAATCCTAAGATGCTCTTTCCAAGTTGATAAGATCTTGAAGATGAAATACATGAGAAAGCTTGCTCATATAGATAAAACGTGTCTTTTTCCACTGTAGCTGAGTCAGAGGGTCCTACCCCGCTCTCTTTTCTGCTTCGCTGCCTCCAATGAAACAGGGTCAAACTTGTGTGGCGGCAACTTCAACTACAATTTGACTGCGCTTCATTAAACAACTTCAAATATACCTTAACGTGTGCACATCCTCTGACGAGGGGGCACAAAATATCTCAAATACTTGGGTGTCGAGTTCTCAGTGCACGAATGAGACGGAGCCAGACACGGACAAACATAAACAGACACTATATACGGCATATAAAACACACTGTGTTGTCGAAGAACAAGCCTACCAAGGCCATCCATAGCTTTTGTCTATTTATTTTGGCAGGATGTGCTCTGTGTTTCAGCGGGCGTGAGAAAAGGGCACAGGGCTAAATGACGAGCTTAGCTTATCTCTGTCCTCCCGTTTACATCTGCGGTAATTTATCACAGAATGAGAAGTACTTAAATTCAAGCCTCTAAGAGGCTTCCTATCAGCTGGTTGACCACTGCATCACTATATATAGAGGCAGTGGCTGTGGATACGTGTCTCAATAAACCTCCTAATTGCATCGCAAAAAACAGCGCCTCAGTTTTTGAGTTGAAGACTTACATCAAGCATAGCTGTACAGTACAGTATTGCATGATTTTGATTATTAGTCACCAGGGTAATTTTGAAAGGAGTATCTGATCAGTAAGGCTAACAGCACTATTAAGGATCAAGGGCATGAACTGCTGTTAACCCTGTTCTGTATTTATATAGATTGTTTTAACAGTGGGTATAAATCAGGACTTATCTGCCTGTATCAATGCATCAGTACCTACCCTCCTTCCCCATAAAGGATCTATAGTATGTACTTTATTGTCAACACTCACCTGTCCCCAGGGTCCAACCTGCCAAGAGGCACACTCCTGCTGCTGGCAAGTCTGCACAGACTCCGGTTTAGATGAGCCACATAAGCGGTCATCTAAACGGTCCTCACCAAACTGACACCATGTCTGACGATGCTTATAGCCTTTCCCACACGTCACAAGGCACTGGAAGAAAGAGTTTTAGAAATCGATTTGTATACAGTGTGCAACAGCAGTAATTGTTCCCAGTCATTGAGCTGGAACTACAGTTCATGACAGTTCATGTTTGGTGTTGAGGAGAGCAGGACATGCAGACTATGAAAAAATGTGTGTGAGTACAGTGCCTATGCATTCAGTGCAGGGTAGGTGTTTGTATTTAGCAGCACCACATGGGAGATCTAAAATATTCCTGGAATGCAGGCCAAATCTTTCTAAGCACCTTCGCTCTACAGTTTGTAAACTGCACAGCAGTTAAGAATGATCTTACCCTGCAATCACAGATTTCCCAACACTCACTACAGCGAGAGGAGGGAGGGGAGTAACTCTCCTAAAGCTTAGACATGCACAATCAACACTGGGATTTTACATTTGACCCACATCACTGTTGGCTTAAAACTACAGTATTTCAACTGAGTCTGTTTCTCTTTATATTGACTCAAGGCAGCTACATAAACAAATGTAGTTGTCCTCACAGATGAATGTATGTATGCACAAGCTTAATGTATCTGTATGTCTTAACAGAAACTCACATACGACACAATCATTTTTCTTACATGTTTCTTTTCTATATGGGTTAAACCAAATAAGAAAAACTCCAGTGTTAATATACATTGTATACAATGTTATCATACATAATCTACTCACTCTATTTCTTTTCTTTATATAAAATACTTTTCGCCATCAGCATCAGTAGTAGCATTTCCTATTAGAAAACAAATAAAGAGCAGAACTGACCTCAGACCAGTCTCCAGTCTTCCATTGGGGACAGAGGAATTCGTTGCAGGGTTGGACGGTCAGCTTGTCTCTTTGACTGCATTTGCTCTCATCGCCGCCAGCGTCAGATGCCTTTCGGCACACTGCCCCTCGACGGCGGGTTCCCCCACCACAGCTCTTGGAGCACTGCAGCAAAATGAAAAGTTTGAACATCAAGAAGTGTAAACACGTATACACAACGCGGGATAAACTTTGACAAACATCTGGATCACAGTAATACACAAACCCCCACGTTTCCCACACCAATCTTACCTCTGACCAAGAGGAGTACTCCCAGCCACCCGGATTGCAGTCTCCATGGCAGCCTTCCTTGTCATCAGGCTTGCGCTGACCACTACAGTAACGGTCGTCAACCTTCTGGGTCTTCCCATCGGCACGGCTGATTTTGGCACAGTGAATTTCCAGGGTACGATATCCCAGGCCACACTGGGCAGTACACTCACTCTTCCGAGCCACATGCCACCTGCATCAAGAGCAATCAGGCAAATCCACATCAGACGTATTAAATGACAAAGTGAAGAAAGACTTGTTGGGTTGGTTTAAGATGAAACACAAACCTGAGTTCACATTCAGTGTTGCAAGACTCAGTGATGACAGTGGGTCTAGCTGTACCGTGACACCTCTGGTCTGACACCACCACCCTGTCAGACTCTCTGCTACAGAGAATCTTCCGCTTGCGCTCTCCTACAAAAACACATCAATGCAACTTAAGACAAGAGGATATAGTAAAAAAGAAATCAGAACTACCATAAAACCGAACAAAATGGAAATATTACAACAAAAGACATGCATATTTGCTATATCTTAAGCTCTCTCATGAGTACAGTTTCAAGGTTGTGTTTCATATCTTCATCCTCAAATTGATCCCCACTAATGTTTTTGACTCATCTCAGCTCCAGTAAGTAACAGCAAGTTCTCTAAATGGCTAAAAAAAAAAAACATCACTCAAGAACAATAAATGTAAAACACTGGGACTCCATTGATACAAGTTGCAATTTGTCTCGTGTCGACAACCTTGCACTGAATCTCGGTAACACATACCCAATAGGCAAAAAAAAATGTCACATATGTTATGTGACTGAGATTTGCTCAGATTAGTTCCTAGCTTGCTTGTGCTAGAAGACTGCCAGGATTTACTGCATTGGTATACGTAAAAGTGCAGATGACAATAAAGGTTAACAGTATCCTGCTTTGTGAACCCAATGATTTCTCTTTGGAAGTTATTGTTAGTTATTTAAGCAAGCTACTTTAAAATAAGGAAACAGAAGTTCTCAGACAAAGTGTTGTGAGTCATCACACATAAAAAGGTTTTCGAGTTTACCTGCAATCTGCCTCTGCACACCCATATATTCTGATGTGTTCACAGTCATGCCAAAGACGGAAAACTGCCGCAGCATTCTAAGAGGTCAAACCTGAGTCACTTGTTCCAGACCTATATGTCTAGCATGAACCTGTCAAGTTTAACCCGGCAATTCTCTCTCCCCTGTGCGTGGCTGTCTCAGCGGTTCCCACATCTCCATACTCAGTTCTATCTCATTTTTTATTCTTGCCAAACCATTCATCATTGATGACTCCCTTCACCTCACTGTGCCAACCACTTGTGCCTCCCCCTCACCTTGGCACAGACGGCTGCACTCCTGCCAGGGCCCATAGGCATCCCAGAAGAACTGCTGAGGTTTGTCCTCTATGGGGATATTAAAGGAGTACCTGACATCTGGGTTGTAAAGGTTCCCCACAGACAGCACCTGTAGAAAATACAGGCAATGGGATATGTTTTATAATATAGTGAGATTATCTTTTTCCTTTACATCATAGATCGCAATGTATTCAAAAGTTAAAAAGTAAAAGCGTATTAACATAAAGACTTTCTTGCATTCAAAATATCTCTAAATGACCTTTTGGGTCGCACAGGATCCATTCGTTTAACTGCTCATAAAAGCACTCTAGCTTGGCGTCTCCTGCATGGCACATTTAAGGCTTTTGTAAGGACCACTTACCTGGACAATGATCTCCTCCTCAATGCGCTCAGTACAGTTGATCCTCTCAACGACATGGTCAGAGCCACTGTACTCTATGACAGCATTTCCCACTTTGATTTCCCTTTTGAACATGCTGACCACAAACTCTCCATTAAGCAGGAACTCTCCACGGCTATTTGATATGGCTGCAGGGACATAGAAGAAAGCACTAACTCAGCTTGATCTCATTTAAAAAGCCGGAATGAGCTTTACTGAATATGACATGAAAATATACATAATACACTTTAAAAAAAAATTGAAATTATGTTTTTATGTCACCAGCTAGACTTAAACAATAGCTTCCATGTGACAGAGCTGCTTAACATCATGTTGACTAACATTACATTTACAGTAAGGCACGTGCAATAGGAAACAGACTTATGGGGTAAAAATAATCCTGGATTCCTGGAGAAGTCCCATCCAGGGGTGTCCCGTTCTGTTCAACAGCCAGTCTGCTGCACTCATTCATCCTAATGCGATTATGGAGCTAATTTCCTGCCTTTACTTTCCTCGCCATTTCACACATTACACTAATATGACCGTGGAGAGCGGCCCTTATTCCGGCCAAATCGTCTCCACTTTGGGCCCCTTATGGCTGTGCTCTTACACACGGCTTGTCATATTATCAAGCGGAAAAGGCAAATAAAAACATGCACACACATACACACATATCCAGAACTTAAGAAACACTACAACAACAACAACAGCAATTTGCAGATTTGCACTCTCCTGCAGACACACACATTTTGACCTTGATGGTATGGTAGCCAAAGGGCTTTCTGAGCTCAAGTATAAGCCTGTTCTTGCCAACGTGTAGACTAATAGCTGACAAAGCAGCCATTAGTGTAAAGCAGTGATATACGGACTGACAGATACACACATGGTACAGAAAGCAACGTATTTAAAGAGCCAAAGAAAATATACACCTGCACAAACACACAAGAGACACTGACTTCGCTGGAATGACACCCACAGAACTTATGCCTCATTAACATGTTAGCCTGCACACTCTGTGCCAACTTTGATATCGCAAACAGAAGGCGCTTTTACATTCACATTACGTGAGAAGAGGCCTGACGCCGTGTAAACAGATGATGATTAACTGTGAAAATATCAGGCGAACAGTAGTGTCTAAAGACTAGTTGTTGAATGTCTTACCGAGGTAGTTGTCATCCTCCGGTTTCCCTGAATAGCTGTGTTGACGCACATCTATATTTGTAGCACCAGTGGGTATTCGTACTACTTCATTATAGCCTGCAAAAAGTGATGGGTTTCGGTCATTAGTCTAGTAAGTTTTATGCCAATATCCACTCTCACCATGGAGGAAAAAAAAAATCATTTGTAGTTACCAACAGTGATACATCAATATAATGAAAGAAGCTGTAGCTCACCGTAGCGGACAATGTTAAAGGTGCCTGCCACCGTTTTGCAGGAAGAGTTGTCGCCTCCGCACACCCCACACTTGTCCCTTCTGGCTTTAGAGTTCAATACATGGTCACAGCCTGCTTGCTGCTCAGTTAAGACATTGGATTGGGGTGGTGGGTGGGGTATAAGATAATAAAAGGAGTAATTAGGGAGCAGCATAAATGGTAGCAGTAGGAAAGGGACAAGAGATAATACATGACAATGTTGTATTTATTTCCACCCTCCAGCTGTGACTATTGAATAACTCTTTCTTCACTTCAGTTTTAGAGTGTAATAATGTCGTTGCAGGACGGTTTATCTGATTAATATACTCGGCCATGACTATTTCTTTATGGATGTAATGCTGATCATAAGAGAACCCAGTGAACCATAAAGTGGTTACACAAGAACTTATTGCTTTCATTTGTATCACTGACAAGCATGTGAAAATGATTTCCTTCAAGAAACCACACTGGAAATAGCATGACCTGCTCTGCTTGTAATTAGCTGGCTGTGGATACTTTTGATTCCATATTAAAGGATGAAAAGTTAGTTTTAATGCCACGGCATGAATGAAAATCCACTTGCTGAGACCAGAAAGCCAACTTACTGAACCTCAATCCAACCAAAACACTGTGTGTGGTTTAGAGTGTACACAGAGTGGCCCACTACTTCCTTCAAGAAGCATATTGATGTGCACTGTATGTTAGTAATCAAGCTGTCAAACTCAAACTATATCTGTCAAAGGTCTAAAACAATAAACACAGTCTGGTTTGGAAAAGGATGGAAACGCTTTCAGAAAAAATTATGAAATCTTTGCAAAGACTACAAAACTCCACATGGTAACTCTGCAACAGGTGTCATATTTAGGACATAGAGTTTTTGTGACACATTTAGCTGTACATATACATTCAAACCTAGAGTTCTAGATATATACAAGTATGGAGACTCACCCTACACAGGCCCTGGACACAGATGTCATTGGTATCGGGTCCGCAGGGTGTGCCATCAATGACTCTGTCCCTGAGCTGATAGTAGGCTGTGCTGCCGGCCACCCTGCAGAACAGCTTACACCTGTCCTTCATCAGGACTGAAAAGGAAGGTAAAACAGGAACATAAAACTTTATATCATTACATTTCAATGTCAGAACTAAATTATGTACATTGTGCACAAGTGACACCAACTTGCAAAAAGGAGATAGCGGGATTCCAGAAACAGAAAAAAAGCGATTCTTACTTCCACTGTACTTGGGTACCCAGCGAACATTAGGAGGTAGACCGTTGATGTTAAAGTGCCTGCCATCGAAAGCTGCACATTGCTCCTCCCTGAAGTCTTTCTTCTGCCTGGAGCAGGGCTCAGAGTTACAGGAACGGAACTTCATCCTGCGACCAACACAATACATCCCTCCATTCCTGGGCCTGGGAGAAGGATTGGAGAGCTTAATTAGCTAAGCATTGGTCTGATTTAGTATATTTTAATAACATAGATAGATGCTAGACATTTTTCAAACACAGATTAAAATGATCATGTACCACATGTTTCTGGAATGACAATAAATTAACCTTGAACCTTGAAATTTGCCTGTTCTTCTTTTAACCTACTAGCCGACTACTCATACCTACATTGTGTGAAAGACAATGTTTTATCATCGTCAGACTCATCATGCCTCATAGTTTTCTCTCGAGCCAGGAAACCAGGGAAAAATGAAACTTTGGGACTCAGTGACCTCTTTATTTTTACCAGGAAACCATTCTGGAAGATCTGCGGTCAGAAGGCCTTTCTTGATGAACAGCTATGGAAAGAATTCCCTTAAGGAGGCTTGATCTATGCAACATTGACTTTGGTAGCTAAGATAGAGACAAGGTCCACTAGACATGAAGGACTACAAAGGGAGGAACTGCTCACACGGGTCGGTTGCATTCGCGCACAGCAATCTTGATTCCACCGCCGCACGTTCGCGAACAGGTACCAAAAGGACTCCAAACTCCCCATGCCCCCTCCACAGGTGCAGCGTCATGCTCTTTGGCTATACACAGGCCATGTTTGCAGTGCTGCAATGACAGAGAAACAGTAAAGAGTCGGATGAATGTCGCGAACGAGGGCGCGAGAGGAGAGGGATGAGGTGAGTGACTGAAAGAAAAATAAGCATGAGAAGGAGAAAGTCAAAAAAGGAGAGAAACAGTCAGCGTGAGCGTATGAAATCTTATCCGTAGAGCTGGCAACACATCTATCTGCTCTCCCGCGCTTTGATGCTAATCTGGGAGAAATTATACAGTGAAGCAAATGGAAAAAAAGAAGAACTGAAAAAAACATTCACGGCTTGGTCTGCCTTGTGAGAAGACAAGTACATGTCACGCACACAGTCAATAAATATATCTCAGCTCATAACAGGTGGATAATCTTACCCTCGTCAGCAAACACACTCAAACATTAGTTCTTTTGTATGCTTTGCTCTGACATGTCATGGGATGAGAGGTTGGTGTTTACTGTAAAGTATGTTATGTTCTTTGATCTGCTCTCAGTCTAGTGGCAGGAAGTAGGGAGTTGGTAAGAAAGTCAGACTTCAAAGATTCACTAGGACAGAACACAGAATGTATGACTCCATGTCACCTACATACATGTTAGCTATATTCAATGACCAAAGGAGAAGTATGTGTTAATGGCAAGTTTCTTTGTTTTTTTTTCCCACTCTAAATTAACTGAAAAAGCCTTAGGATCAAAAAAAAAAGGAAATGTGGAACAGCTTGTCAGATTGTAACACAGAACCATATGACAACTAACACATACCGTAATGGATAGGAATGTGGAGTTATAATGGAGAGTTAAAACTCTTTACACGTCTCAAACTGCTGCTTCAACTGAACGCAGCTCAGCTGGCTAACTCCTGATCCTCACTCATTCTATCAACAAAAAAGACATACTTCTCTTTTGTTCATCTAAAACACTACAAACATGGCCTCACTTAAAGCACCTGTCTGCATTTCCACTCATTTTATGACTCTGATACCTTTCCAGGGGAGCAGTCAGTGCCGTCTGCCCAAGGCATGTGCTGGGTCCTGCAGCCTCTTTGAGCTCCCTCAGGACTGGTGCACCACAGCCTCCTACACTGGGTCTGAGAAACACATACAGAAACACAGAAACACGCATCATTAACCCTTAAGTTCCAGCATAACAACAAGACAACTTTGTATTTACATTCTTACAAAATTCTTTAAAAGGTCAACAAAGTAAATATGCATTAAATAGATAGTCTGATATGATGGTTTGAGCCTGATCCTCCTCATAATCAGGTTTCAAACAGAGTCATCAACAGAGTTTATAGGTGATAAAATAACATGTTTTGAAATTCATCGAATGTACTATCCGAGTGTTGTTTACTATAGTGTATGACCCGAAGACTTGAAAATCTGCTAGGAACCTCTGCAGCGCATGATTATAACACAAGACACTTCTCTCAGAGAACTACATGTACAACATGACAGTTTAGATTAACACATCAACTCCACTCACCATATAGGGGCACACCTGCGTTCCTGGCCCGAATATCAACTCACACTGTTTATTGACATTGTATACGCGTCCAGGCAGCTGCTGTGAGACACTGTATGGCCTAGAAACGGGCTCATCGAGCAAGCACTCACCATACCCTGTGCTATTAAGAAATAAAAATAAAATGACTTAAAGAAAAAAAGGAAAAACAAGAGACACAAACAAACAAAAAACACACTCAGTACAGCAGGAGAGGTCATTTTTTTCTGTACATATATAGAGCCCCTACTGGACACACAACTTGCTCACAGTCTTGAAGAAATTATGTTTCTTATGTAGTTAGTGGTGGTATCTGCAGAGTTAGGTGGAAAAGGAGCACTTAAAATGAGGTAGCATTTCAAAAATTCCTTTCCATGAACTATTTACTACCTCCTACAGCAAAGAGTTACTTGATCATTCTCAGTTGGTTAAGGAGCCTTTTAAAGAGATGAGGCTGTAACAGCCCTAAGAATGAACAACAATCTGTATATAATCCTGAAATGTGTCTGATGCTGCCAAAAGGAGAACAACTGTGTACAAAGTAAATACACTGCACTCTGTGTGGGTTCGAATGCAGAAGAAGATTACTGTGAGATTTCCACCTCAACAGCAGAAATCATCTTAATATATTTATCAATATGCATGTTTTAATCTATTTGAAAGAAAAGACAGTGACATACTCGAGGAACTCTGTGATGTACTTCCTGCTACACTTGGACCACATCCAGGGGTTTGTGTTGTAGTTCAGAGTGGGAGCCATCACATGTTGCTGAATCTTAACTCCATCCTCCTTACACTTATTACTGTCATCATGAGGCATGTTAAACCTATAAAAGAGAAAACACAAGAGAACGTTGAGGATTCTATAAAACATGGAGGACACAAGGAGGACTGAACGATGTTTCTCTTTCCTTTTTCCTGGTTTTACTTCTGGTGATTGTAGTTGGTGCCACACAGATACTCAGCTGTCTACGAAAACTCTTTGGTTGCAGTGAATAAAAGAAAAACCAGTATGATAGTGATCAATGCATTTATACTGTTTCTGGCTGGAACTTTAAAGTGTTAAAGCTGCTGGCTTTGGGAAACCCATTCAGGGTTGATGTTGAAAATATTGCAGAGCATTTGTATTGCCTGCCTGTGGTAACAGCACATTATTAAATTATGAAAATTGGCAACTGTGTAACAAATAATGTGATGTGAAAATCAGAGCGCAGTGAGTATAAGCATTCAAGCCCCTGCAGGGTGAATAATAAGACCCTGGTTGGTGGTGACCAAGTACAACACCACAATAACCACAGTCCTCTTTCTGAGCTACTCAGCTCCCCACCTGACAGGTACCATACAACACTGAGCTCTGAGGCTAATCAGTCCCAACGCATGTTGTCACCACCTGATGCGGATAAACATGGAATAGAACAATCCCACCTCTTGTTTAGAGGTTAATGGGAGAATTTATTAGAGGTGATGAAGGCTGTTAAGTTCCGTAACAGTCTCCACTGTAGGACCACCCACCCCCACCCATCCTTATACATGTACACACACACACACACACACACCTCCCTGTGCCCCAGCTCTAGCTGACTCAGGACTTTGGACAATGCAGTTTGCTGAAAAGTTGTTTAAATTTGGGAAAATCCAATTTCTAGACTCTTTTCTCATTCCTCTCAGAAAGAAAGGCAGGCGGCTGGGAGATGTGATCAAAAACACACAGAAAACAAAGGGGAATACACGACTGTTGTTTCTTAGTCCAATTGTGAAATTCTATTATCCACATCTGTGAGCAAGGCTTGTGTGGATTCCTAGAACGACCTCTGCAGTTTAAAAAATGTCTTGCTGAAGCCAAAACTCATCAGAGCAGGAGTAGTGGCATACACGAGGTAAACAATGAGTGGAAACACACTGTGCTTACACATGGCCAAGTTCGTGGGCGATGGTGAATGCAGTGCTGAGTCCATTATCCTCACTTATGCTGCAGCTCCTGTATGGATCACACACGGTCCCCAACTCTGCAAGTCCTGAAAAAAAGGAAAAAAATGCTTTGAATCACATGATGTATACATTTATGAATGAAAGTCTTTAAGCACATTCAAAAACAAATCCACGTACCAAGGGTGTCACACTTATCCCTCGCTCTACAGATGTCCTGCCTGAGGTGAAGACACAAATAATTGGCCAGTCAATGGCTCTGTTATGATTACAGCAATGTGATTTAGTTTGATGGACATTAGATTTAGACAATTCAAGACCCACAGCATTGCAGCAAATGAATTGATAACTTGATATATTTCTCGCACCTGGTGATGAGGATGGCGGTGTCGTGATGGGAATGGTGGTTATCATCCAGGATGTTCTGGCTCTGTTGCCAAATGCAGAAGTTCTTTAAAGTGGTCTGTGCATTAAAAGAAATCACTGGACCTTCCTGAAAAAGATGCAAGGAGTATGAATCAAAGGCACAACTTACTGATGAGTGTGTAAGTGACATACTTTTTTAAAATGCTGAAGAATGGAGATGAATACAAGCTTACCAGCTCATTGTTTATTATTACTAACTTTACAATCACAATGTTAATCAGGTTGCCAATGCTGGGGTCTTTGTAGATCGAGGATACCTGAATGAAGAAATCAAAACATCAACTCAAACATTGTGAGGTTAACACTAGTATCAACACAAGTGACTTTTCTGATATTTTCACAAAGTGAACCCCACTATATATATGAAAAATTAATATTAACAGAAAACTTTGACTACATCCAAACGTATGTATTCCTTTAAAAAAATATGTTTAAACTGTTCCAGAAATAATCTCTAGACATTTTAACACTCAAGCAACACAATGTTCCCATTTACATCCTCTGGGCAAAAGATGGAACTGTTGCTGAAATTAACACAAGCAAACAAAGGCGATATCAAGCCTGTTGGGGACCAATGAACAAGTAAATGAACTGAAGAGCTTCTGTGTCATGTTTTGTAATGTTTCTGTTTTTGCATGGAAAAAAAAAAAAAGTCCATGAGTGTGAAAAACATCAACGCAGCATTGACACAAGTCTCTGCTGTGCAAGTTTGAAAACATGTTTGTACCTGGATGCTAGGCTTATGTGTAGGATACGTTCTACATTTTAAAAACAGAGACTTAACAGAGTGGATGTAGCTTCTATCATGGACTACAGTCTAGTAATTTCAAGCAGGTACCGGGGAATATGGTTGATTTGAAGATCAAGTTGATAATGGCCTGAACCCCTGTGGAGAAGGCAGCCTTTGCCAAGAACAGAATATAGGTCATCTCAGCCTCCTCCTGAGGACTGTCGGCCCCAGGCGCCTGCAGAAGCTGGTTTTTGAAGTGGACGAGAGTATGCAGTCTATGTGACATACCTGAGCTTATTTTTAACATTCATCAAAGCTGTCAGGAAGGGTCTACCTCAAGCTGCCCTCTCTTCCCCCTGGTCGTTTGAAAGTGGTGTTTACCCCTGCCCTGGGCTGCCCTTTTCCCTCCTATGCACCCCCCCACCCCAAACAAAAAAGAAAAAAAAAAAAAGAAAGGCTGACTGATTGACTAGCAGCACAAATAGCACAGCTGAGCAGGTACATACATTTAATGCACCTTTATGTACATTCTAAGTTACTTTATGTTCATATAACTAAGGCACATGAACACACGTTTAATTCCCAGCCACATATTCCCTACAAGCATCCACAAGCTTTTTAATGAAAAGGTACTTACGATAGACATTAATGTGAGTATGTAGTGCTGTAGATTGCTGCCGTGATGCTCAACCATTTTGCTGTCTGCCACCAGCATGACTTCAACGAAGCGCGGGTAGGAGAGGAAGCGCTTTGATCTCCTGTGAGGTCCTGAGTCACCGCTGCTATCATTTGATGGTCGAGCGCTAGAACTGCCGCTCTGTGATCTGAGCAGAGGATCGCTGGCGAGGCTGGCACTCAGTGACTCCAAGTCACTGAATATACCCACACTGACCACAGGGGCTCCGTTGGACACAGTGGTCACTCCAGCCACTTGCCTTCTTTTAAGCTTTTGTCTCTTCTGTCTCTGTTTGTGTCCTAGTGAGAGAAGTCAGGAAGAAAGAAGCATGTATAAATACACAAAGATGAAGGAATGGTAGGACATACATTCAACAAATAAAAAAGAGATGTACGCGTAAAAATATGTTTTTGACATAATTTTTGACTTAATTCTAAAATTGAGATGAATTGAAGTGAGTTGACTGTCTAGATGTGGGTATTGTTAAAATATGTTGCTGCCTCCATTGCTCTTTTGTTTATTGTTGCTCGATGAGTGGGTTGACAAATGAATGCTGCCTGGAATCCCTTTTATTTCTCTCTCCCTCTTTCAGAGGAGGGGAGGAGGGCAAAGAGTTCAGACTAGGTAAACCTGGCACCCAGCCATAAAACAATGGAGCACAAACTGCCGTTCGCAAACCAAAAGAAGGCAGTTCAACAACTGGGCAGCAATAAATCTCAACAATCAGGGGAATTAGGTCTGATTTTGATCATGACACGGCAACAAAAGTGCTGAATGCCATTTTTCCTTTATCACATGCAGATCACCCTTCTGGACCACCAGCATTGAGCTGGACTACAGCAGAGGGGTGGGTAACATTATTTAGAACTGATTTAGAACAATTTGCTACTCCTTAAAATGTACAAGGTTATAGTCAAGTTCTGTACAAATACAAAACAGACTTGGACAAAAGTGGGTCAAATGTATCTTCCTTCAGGCTATGATATCACACACGCACATGCACACAAACATACTGTGGTGCCAGCCAAAAAGGAGGAACACAAACACACACATATATAAAACAAGTATAGGCAAAAAAACAAACACACATGCATGCATGCATGCAAGCTCAGACACTCACACACACACTCACACATACACACAAACATTGACATATACAGTAAAGCCAAACATCTGCCTGCAGAAGATTTATTTGTCTTCAAAGTTGGGATTATTTGGCAGTTTTAAGTTGGCATGACTTAATTATAAAATTTACACTGCGTGTTCATGGCAGTGGGTCTATTCGACTTTCTTATCAAAGAGGCAGAGGAAGTACAAGAGTCAACAGGAAGTTCAGCCAGTAAACTGAGATGGGAAGATACAAGGGTGAACTTCAAAATGACTTTTCCTGTGTGAGAGTTGGAAAGCTTCATCACTACTGTACTGCAGCTGTAGACAGAGAACAGTGCAGGCAGGCTATGAACTAAGATAGTTCACATTCACAACATACCATCACTCTGATTTGGTCATTTTGCTATTATATTGTGCCTACAGATGGAATAAACATTCATATGAAACAGTGCCATCCCACTGTCATACCATTAAAACATTTCGGAGGCTTCTTCAGCATTATGAAACTAAATTCATAGTGTTCAGTTTTCTGAAGCCTCTTCATATTAATCCATTTCTTTCATTTTATTCAAAGTAAAAGTGTAAAAGAGTGCGTACTATTTTAACAGGAGGAGAGCTTTTCTGCAGAGCCAATTTCTTCATTTTCTTTACCCCTAGACATAGATGAATTTATTGTATGTTAACCAAGATAGACTGGAAGTATTTCTATAGTGCCATACTTCACTAGCTTGATAAAATGACTTAGTATGACATTGTCAGTTCATGCTAGAACTGACTGTAGAGACCTTGGGGTAACACAATGCTTGTATCTGTGAGAACTAATTCAAAAGTCATGGCCCACATACACAGAGACACACCAACAGCAAACACTTTACTTAGAATCCACATACATGCCATGGAAGAAACTTGCATCACTGACTTGATCCAATCACATTCAGACTGTCTTTTGTGCATATAGCCCCTGAGAGACCCATGCACGGAAGCAAAATTGTGCTGGTTATCTAGAAAAGTGTAACTGACGCAGATGCTTGAGTCAGCCAATGTGCTAAAGCCCCCCATTGCTCTGAATCTATACTGGTTAAGGAGCTGTGCATGTGTGTTTGTGATAGTGAGTATACTGTGTACATGCATTACATCTGAAATGACATCTATTTGAGCAAATGTTTGATATTTTTTTCAGTACATTTCTGCTAACCCCGAAAATGTTCACTGTACCTGAAGTGTCACAAGCTGAGTTCTCCCCAGATGATTGTTTCTTGGGTGCACTCTTCCTGTATACAATATGAGGTTTTGTGTGTTCCTCTTCATAGTCTTCTCCTTGATAGCTGTGTAGGGGTTCAACAAAATACTCCCCATCTGGAGACCTGAAAGTGCCAAGCTGGAAAAGGAAAAAAATGTAAAAATATGCACAGAAGTTGGTGTCCATCCATTAATGTCCTGCTAAACGAATTCCTTTTTCAGAAACAACACAGGGTAAACAAACACACGTCCTGTGTGTAAGAGAATAAACACTTCAACTATAATGCAAATATATGTTTTTTTTTTTACTGAAGAAAAGTAAAGTTATGGCAAGCAACGGTGGAATGTTGCCTTTTCGTTGTTCAGTAAATAGGCCAGAGAAAATAAGAGCTGCCAAGACCTGAGGGCATTAAAAAAGGTGAAATGAGTGAATTTGCATGCAAGTAAGAACGGTCTCAAAACAGGAGGAAAAGAATAAACGGGAGACCTGTGATGACTATCAGGAAAGTAGAGGGGCTATATCTTCTTGGCAAGCATGCTGAAAGCCTAGTGTTTAGTATTTAGCCAGTTAAATTGAGACTGTGTGACTTGGAGGACTATGATGTCACCGATAAGATAAGTGCAACCTCAAGCACATTTGGACGCCCTGTTGGTTCAGGTTCATACAAGTTGGCACGGGCAACATTAATAATTCATGATAATATAGTATGAAAAAAATTACAATAAGAAAAACAGAACATTTCATGCATGTGCAAACATTTGCAGCAGAGTTGGCAATCCATCAGCAAGGGGGAACGAGAAGAAGATTCTTGCTTACATCCTGCTGAGAAAAACACTATTCCTACTACTGTGCACCTTGATTGACCTGGGGAGCTGGCAAGGCAACCGGGAATTCCTACGTCCCTTACCTTTTAGGATGCACAGTATAATTACAATACAATGTTGGCCACAAGCTGTATTGCCGATTTAAAAATAAGTTTGCACTTAGAGCACTTGAAGAAACAATACTTCATAAAGTAATCTCTTCTAGTTTAAGCTGTTTGCAGAACACAGCATTTATATCATAAACCCCTTCCTTATTACAACTGTTTTTTGTTTTTTTATGGTTAACCTCAAGAGTGCAACGCTCCGCTCCTGCACTAATGCGTCTGCAAGCCTGGGAGTGGGACGAGTGGGACCAGTTTGTGATGACGTCAGTACAACCCGTACTCCCGCTGTACTAGCGTGCGTAAATACGTCACCAGCAGCCGGGAGAACGAGGAATGGAGGCAAGATTTGGAGCAGAGGTGTTCATTGAACTTGACTATAGGCAAAGGATCTGGGACCATCACGAATCGGAACAGTTCAGTATTTTGGAAGCTTACTAGCCTCTGGCAGTATCACAAAAAAGGGTCATATTGCGAATAAAATCTTTAACGAGTTGGCTGTATGAGTCTCGAACTTTTTTTATTATTATTTTCATCTTTTTTTTAAATCCAGCTTCACTTTAGGCAGAGCAACTTGCTTTAAAGTGTTTTATTCTTTAGAAGGAAATGTTCAACTAGTGTGCATATTTATTATTAAATCAAAACATACTTAAAGTGCAAAAATGAAGTTTGAGTTTGATATTTTCATAGATACAAATACAACGCGTGCCAACTTTTTGCAAAATAACATTTGTTGTTTTTTGTATGCCAAGGCAAACTTCTGTCTTGTTTAAGCAATAATGGCCCCTTAATACCAGGGGCGGAAAAGTAAAACACCCGGTCGTAAAGTCATCACATGCAGTCTAACCGTGCGTAAAAACTCACCAGTCCGGAGCACAAACTGATGACCGCGGCATGTTCTGCTTCTGCATTTACTTGTCCCTTATAGAAGCAGTGCCTTAACTCCGTGTCCTCCTCCTCATCCTCCTCTACCTCCCCATCTGTTGCAAAATCCGTTATGTTATCTCCTCTGGGTACTCCAAGTACTGTCACAGTGTAAAGAGGGGCGATAAATCCCGAATCCAGCGTGAGATTGAGGTGATAATTCTGTCCAAAAGCAGATATCCTGTAGTGAATATTTGGCGAGGCCCAGTGATCCGTAGTATTCCCAGTGCTGTCGTCCAAACTTCGTCTTTTTCTCTTGAAGTGCACACTGGTTGGAAACTTGTCACCGGCTTCATTCACCCGCACCGGTGTTACAATCTCATAAACGCCGATCTGGTCTTTTACTGAGGAATAGAAGCAGATGAATGGCAATATTAAGTATTATGTAGTCCAGTAGCATCAGTAAAAAAAAAAGCAAAGAACGCAGGTGTGTGAATAGATTGATTATGATTGTTAATGTATTCCTTCTCATGCTGTTTTTCTTTAGCTGTGCAAGTAGAAGATAGTGGACTTTAGGTACTAGAAAGCGCTGCAACTCATGTGCTTGGCTCCATTCAAAACTCATTCATTCTCTGCCCTCCGTGTAAGAAAACAACTTCCTGACAGAAAAAAATGCTCGGGTTGTCATAGCGGCATACAATACCTGTGCTTGAGTTCAAAAGCAATTTCCCCGTAGATGCGACTACATTCAAGAAATCAGGGAATAGCAGGAACCCCAAGCCCCAGAAGAGCACATGCATGATTGTCCACGTTCAGAGGAGAGTGGCAGCCTGTATTCCTGTAGTAATAGTGTATTCCTCCGGTCACTCCGGGCTTTCCGCCTCCTGTCTGCCACATCCACTTTTATTATCCTCGGCTCTTTGGTAGATGGTCTCTGGCCGGGGAAGTACACTGCTGGAACGTGAGCGCTTCGCGGATTCCCTGACGAACATGCATACTGCAGAGAGGGGTGGGCTGCTCGAACAGTCAACTACGATGGGCTCCGCTGCAAGCCTGTGCAGCTTTCTTCCCAGCGAGGGGCGGGATCATTCATGCAAGGTACCCTGGTGATACAATGAGGCCACTCCCGTGTACTGTGTAGTGACATGAGTGGTCACTTATATCCACTTTGGATGATGTGATATGATCAGTGACTGAGTTGCTCATTTTGTCCTGGTTACACCCAGGCTGTTTTACAGGTTAACATCAGCCAATGCAGGATCCACACTCAGGGCCCCCATTGCATGACCCAATTAACTGACTTTGTTATTATGCATGATACTGTAGGCTAAGTTTGAAATACACATTGACATACTCAAATCCATTCGATTACTTTTGTGAGTGGTTCCACAGTGTGCAGAGCCGTCTGGTGACCATGACAGTGAGGTGGGGCCCATATAGGAAATGCCTGCCCTGGGGCCACAAGCTAGATAATCTGGGCAGTGCTGTATACTTAGAAGTTCATGGGATCACAGGGTGACAAAATGCAAACTGGCAAGCAGCGTAGTCACATACACTAGTGATTTGAGGTCTTAAGTAGGTGCTGGAAAAGGTATTGTGTAGGGATAATGGTAATGGTTTTATGAGCTATAGCCTCCTCATCAGAACAATGCTACAGGCAGTATGGAAGCCTTTGTAGGTGCCTTTGTTATGTGGAGGATCAAAGAGCTGGCTATCCAGTCTGTCTCCTGCCCCATTCATGAAAAAAAAAAACATACACATACACACAGAGCCATTGACAGGAAACAGAACAATTTCTATCAAACTATGTTTACTTAAACTAATACTCAAATTTCTTATTTTTTAAATCAATATGCACCAAAGAGTCCAACATATCTTTCAACTGCAATATCCAACTCTTTCACATAGTGTAATTTATTATTACAAAATGTATGGCCCTATTATTCACTAGTTAATGTGTAGACCGATATTTTCAGATTTATTCCTGCAAACTAACTCATGACATCCCTTACATCAAATCATTGTCATAATATATATATCAACAACTTTTTTTGGTTTTAAATGTAAACCAGATAATTGAGTTCTGTCCCAGATTATTTGACCATTTATAAATCAGCAAACAAAAACAGTTACAAGAGTAAAATCACAGGAGTAACTCATATTGCTGAATAGCAAGTCAGGCTACTATAAGGTCTTAGCCTGTTTCATGAATTAAATATAATGTGGCCATTAATTAATCACACCTGTGACTTATTTCCTCTGTTTCACTGATTCAAAAGAGTAGTATATAGAAAAATACACTTTACAGTTTGTTGATAAAATCAACAAATCACTGTATTTATGTGATGTGTCATACAATAACCAACAACATATCTACGTGAACAAAAAAAACAATGAATATTTGAGTTCAATAACAGCTTTGACTGAGCAAGAACCTTAAGCTGACTTTATAGCTAGCTAGAATAACTTAGCTTTGTTAACACCTGTCTTTGTCCTCAGAATTTGACCTGAGATACACTGGTTTGTTTGAAACTTGGAAAAAAAAAGTTTAAAGATTTAAATAAATATTAATAAATGTTTCAATTCATGTGCTTTTGGTTTCTTTACTCAAAGAGAGATTCTATCTGACTGTGTGCAGTTCTAAAACTGATAATCGTTTTGTTAACTTAGATGACTAGCATGGCATTTCACCCTGCTGACCATGTAGAATAAACTGGACTCTTTCTCGTCTGTGTTTGGAGAGCTTTCCATTTTTAAGACAGGCACTGGAGACAAACACTCAAAAAGCCTAGCAACATTGAGGATAATGCTCCCAACAAGCCTACAACAAAAGGTCAGTCACTCAACTGTGACAGAAAGAGGAAAAATGATAACTTATCAGGTTTGAAGTCTTCTTAGCAACTATGAAGAAAAAATAAAACAAGGTCAAGCTCAGAACATCTTTGAATCTTAAGTGAATGACAGAAGAGAGGTGAACAAGTCCACGAAGTGTAAGCCATAGGTGATTGTGTGCTGTCCCTAGTGGCCAGAAGCTGTACCACAACTGCCTTTTCTCTACATTTTCTAGATTGAATAACAAATTTTAAAAAACTGTCAGAGCATTTGCTCAAATGCAGTCAATGGAGTTTTCCATGAGACAAACAAGGCCCTTTCCCGCATTTTCCTGACATCATTTTGGTGCTCTCTATTGTGTGGCCATTCTGAAGATGCAAGTATAGTGGGCGATGTACTGATTTCTACTGTTTACCTGAGGAAGCTCTGCTGGATTCCTGCTAGACCCCCGCATGCATAGGCCAAAACTTGGCTGAAGTACTACACAAATTAATTAATTCTCCAAGTGCAGCAAAACCTGAAATTGAAAGGTTATATAACAGACTGATACAATACAAGCAAAACACACCTATGAACAATTAAGAGCCCTACAATTCTACAATTCTACAATTCACTTAGCAGACGCTTTTATCCAAAGCGACGTACATCAGAGAGTAAGTACAACACAAGCAAGGATCTAGAAAAAAGGGAACAATGTCAGTAAGAGCAAACGATCAGCTTTGAGTCCGATTGGACACACAGGTGCTGACAGGAAGTGACCAGAGGCAAAGCACAACATTGAGGGCAGTTCTTGAGAGCTCTAATCAGCATAGAAACCATCTTATAAGTCATCGTTATCAAACAAAAACCATCGTCATCATCATCATCATCATCATCAATAATATGGAGACCATCATCATTAACTTAGTAGGTATTCATGAAAGAGCTGGGTCTTTGGCTTTTTCTTAAAGGTGCAGAGGGACTCTGCAGATCGAATGGAGTTTGGAAGTTCATTCCACCACCGGGGGGCGACAGAGGAGAAGAGTCTGATCAGAGACTTAGGACCCTGTTGTGAATGTTGGATCAGACGCCTTTCATTGGCAGAGCGTAGTGGGCGGGAGGGAGTGTAGACCTGGATGAGAGAGTTAAAGTAAGGAGGAGCCGTTTTTGTCGCTGTTTTGTAAGCGAGCAGCAGAGTTTTAAATTTGATGCGAGCAGTAACTGTGAGCCAGTGTAAGGAGATGAACAGCGGAGTGTTCGGAATGTGCTCTTTTAGAAAGGTTGAAGACCAGTCGTGCTGCTGCATTTTGTGTCATTTGCAGAGGTTTGATAGTGCATGTAGGAAGACCTGCCTGTAGAGAGTTGCAATAATCAATGCGTGATATCACAAGAGCCTGTACCAGGAGCTGTGTAGCGTGTTCTGACAGGTAAGGTCTGATCTTCCTGATGCTGTACAGGGCAAATCGACATGACCGGGCAATCGAGGCTATTTGAACCTTAAAAGTTAGCTGGTCATCAATCATGACACCCAGGTTCCAGGCAGACTTTGTGGGCATGAGTTTGGTGCCCACCTTACTTTTTATTAAGATAATCTGCTGTTTAACCGGCGACATTCGAGTACACTCAAATGCAAGTGGCCGTTGCACTTTAGACCATGCACTATAAACAGTTTGAATAGGGTCTTCATATGAATTGCTTGATATATTTGAACTTCTAGGCATCACCAGCCTCTTTGTCATGAGTTGCACTCAGTTGGCCTCCATGTCATCACCATCACTCACTCAGAGCCAAATCGCTGCAGGCCTCTGCCCCCCCCCCCCCCAAGAACTTATGTTGTGATAAATGCTAACAGCTGCCACATTACAGCTCATTTGTTGTGTACAATCAAAACACACTGCTATTAAGGAGGCTAACTTAGATTCACAGGTATATACTTAAAACAAACGAGTCACATAAATGCTTGTGGTACTAGCATCCAAAAATACAAAGAGATCAAATATTAAAAGGTTGGTGTTGCCCACAAGATCCTACTAAGCAAAAAACAAGCTTAAAAAGCTCTGCTGCCTCTGTCATTATGGTCATTATGGCCTGTGGTGCTATGAAGAGTAGTAATCATTTTTCATAGTGAACATCATTACAATAAATTTCACACCAACTCTTGTAATCAAGAGTTTCTGCTGTTGACTGCAAAACTACCATCAACAACTAAACATTCATGGAACCCCCTCAATTTCCACCAGTAACCACTCATTTTCCCTTATGATGGAACCAATTAGGTTGGTTCTTAAGGGTTACTAAAATGTTAACATTCAAGATCTTTGGCACATATAATCACTTACAAGAATGAGATGTTCTTGTTGGTTTTAGGAAATTCTTCCTTAGCATATAGTGCAGCTTATAACATGAAGACGTATTTAAAAGAGTTGGTGACCTCCGCTGAGGGTCACCAACTCTTTTAAATACAACATTTCATTGACTTTTCCCAGAACTCTCCATAAAATATTTTTACAACACAGGGGACACAGGTAAGTAAAAACATTTGGAAGAAATTGTCCTTGGAGCAGTGAGCAGCAACTACAACTTTAATTGGACTGTTAACTCTTTAATGTGTTGTTGTAGTTACTTTATAGCTGCTACAGACATCCATCATTTCAAACTAAGAATAACAATTTCTATTTCTCATTGAATCACCATTTTAATCTTCAAAAAAAAAGCTGTAATGAAAATATTCTAAAAGGAACTCCTATGCCCTTAACTGCTGCAGATGGCCACCATCTTCAGTGAACTGCTCTTTTCCCCAGTTTCTCAATGAAGCAGTGTGTACAGTGTGTACAGCTGCGTGTGTATGTGTGTGTTCTCAATGGACGGTCATTGAGGTCATCAGAGTCACTCTTCCTGAGTTGTGCGCAAGCAGGATCATTCAGAGAGGCTATCAGCAGTCTAAACTTCACTTCCCCTCCAAATCAGATAAAAGACCAACAGGGAGCGGAAAGCTTGAATGAAGTAGCCGAGCCTGGGTCTGGGATTTCAAAGAGATACATACTGTAATCGTGGAGCTTTCAAACTCTCGTTTTACTCGGCGCTCTCTCAAGGGGGGGGGGGGTTTCTGCAGTAAACTTTTTTTCATCACAAGGCAATATCCATTTATAAAGAATGAAAAGCCAGCAAGGGATTTATATTGACCATTTAACATCATGAAGCCATTTCTGATGTGGTTTTGTACAACACACGAGGAAATGATGGACACTGTGAGAGAAAAAATGAAAATAATTCTTAATGAAAAAAATACTATATAAAAAGTTGTACAAAAATGAAACAAGGGATTACAATTTAATCATAGACCAGCAACAACAAAGGGCCCTTTTTTAATGGAGGTCGACAGCTATGCTTTCAGCTTTGTCAGATTCTGCCTGGACACAGCTGTGAGCTAAATGCTAATGTCCGCGTGATAATATGCTCACTTGACATTGCAAACATGTTGAGTTGGTTAAAATGTTTACCATTTATGTTTTTTTTTTTTTTTATGTTAACATGCTGATACTGTAGCCTATAGCTTCAGATAAATATGTTAGTTGCTAAGGCATTTCACAAAAATCACAAACATCTAGTTTGGTCAAGCTGCAAGGAAAGTCTGGGATCACCAAAGTTTGCAAAAGTCTTTCATGACCAATCCGCCTGGGAAACCGGAAGTTGACAAGCCGCCATTACTACAGTCAGTGGGGTCACCCTTCAACAGCTGTGGGTTTGAATGTGAGCTTTCCTTTTAACTCTACTTTGTATGTTTACCTTTTGAAAGAACTTAAAGGACTAACCTGTGGGATTCACAGTTTCTCTTAAAGATGTGACAAGCTTGAACTTTGGGAAAAAAACAGGGAGTTCACAACACACACTGTATGAGAGCAGACACTTTACACACATTCACTGGCCGTGCACATTCTCTGCCCTCTCTGAGTGATCTGGTATTTAGTTGTCCACCACCAGGAGATTAATACAATTATCTCAGATCTCTATTAGTGAGCGTAATCAGGCAAGAGCTGTATGCACTACAGACCAGCTGCATTAGCAAAAAGAAATAAAAAAATGCTTAATGAATATCTACAGAAATGTATTTCACAATGCAACTAGTCTGTGATGATTAAATGCAGCAGTTCATTGATTACTGTAAGCAAACTAGCTTGTAGAATGACGTTATATATTACACAGCATTTCATCACACATCATGTTGCGGATGGTTGAGTTTTTCTTAATTTCTCTGTTATGCAATCAGATTGTTGTTGTAAATTTGGGTCAATTTTTAAGTTTTGCTATTGCCTTTGTGGGGCAGCCTCCCATACAGCTCAGGAAGAATGTGCAGTAAGTACTTTCATCTGCAGCTGTTTGATGCTTTCAATCCAACTATCAAAGCTGCTTTCAGAGTAAGCAGGCAGTAAAGACGCCACTGCAAGACGGCAGCGCCCACAGACTGGCCGTAGGAATTAGTCATTAGGTTCCCTATATAATATGTCTGTGCCTTCAAGAATTGTAGTTGTTGAAGTTTTTCAGGCTACACTGATAGACAGATATAGCCTTCTAAATATCTTCTGCACTGTGATCACAGTTGCACGCGTGCGTGTGTGCATGTGTGTGCATGTGCAGAATATGAGTCAAAGTTAAAAGCCAGCCTGCAGCTCATGCTTCCCTGGGAGACTAGGTACAATTTCTGTGGCTGCACAGTTCTTTCAGCATGGGAGCATTTGGACTTCCAGGAATGATTGTAAACAAAATAACACAAGTCTCTGTTGGGCCTGCAGGCATATATGTACAACTGTTCACAAATACACACAGATTGCGCACAACCTATGTCACATGCCCTCCCTCTTTGATGCTACAAAGCAGACTACAGGTGGTGAAAGCTCTAATAGGGAGGAAGAGAAGGGAGGTGTTTCTGTTTATGGGCTTTTTGAATAGTCCTGGGCAAGTTTACATTGGAATAGAGCTGAGTGAAAACAACGCTCAACATCTGAAGTGTAATTAGGTCTTTGGAGGAGCTTTCACAGACCACAAGATAGGGGTCTGGCCTCTGCCCAAGTAGTACAGCAGCTGTCAGCGGGTCTCTCCAAAAATCTGAAATCCTACAAGATTCCCTAACTCTCTGTGGAATGGCAACAATAGCCTTCATGCCAGAGACCAAAAAGTCAGACCTCAGAGTGAAGAGCCGAAGGAGGAAGAAGTCGTCAAAGGTGTTTTGAAGCCGGGTTACTAGTGTGACATTAAGCAAACTCAAGAAGACCTACATTTAGTGGCCCTCTCTCCTGAAAGCTCTCAACAGTTCTACAAAATCCTTTGTTTACAATAGACTGAGCTCCGTGAGTCATTCTTCCTCCACTAACACTTCGTAGAAGGGCAGATATCCTTTCATAACATGATTATGTTCAGAGCACTCTGTGGAAGTCAGGGCTTGTGATTGATGAAGTTGGAGGGCGTTGGGATCTATTTGGGGTATAAAGTGTACAGTCCACCTCTTCCAGTGTGACTCACTGTGATTATGAAATTGTGTAGTAGTGATCTTGTTTCTCAGGGTCCTGATGTCATCAGTTTACAGTCTTAATCCACTACTTGACTTTCACTTGGCACCACATGCTTGACAGAAAGACTGCATGATGACCTAATCAGTCTCGGACACCCTTCTTTAACCACCTGACT